GTAAAAAAACAATCGGATCGGAGTATTCCACACGTTCAAGGCCCCTTCCCAAAATCTACAGGGCGAGTATTAAAGGTCGCGACTCATTTTGGTTGAAAATCTAGAACCGGGGGGGATGGACCACACCTCCTGAAGCTGCCTCGTTCCTAAAAACCTAATTTACGATTGAGATTAACACTAGAGGCGCTGGTGTAATTTACAAATGGCGTGTATAGGTGGTAGCGGTTATTCTTGAAGGTTTTTGAAAGTAAATTGAATGGCTTGAAAACATAACCCCTTGATCCTATTTTGCCTCTAAGGGCTTTATCTTAAGAACTCGAGGCATTAGCTTGAACAGGCAATTAACTTCATTTTCTAATTACAAATAAAGATCACAATTTATCATTCAATTTCTAGCGCACTCGTGTAACAACTCCACGACATTTCCTTACGTGCTCGAAATTAGTCTAAGGAAATTCCCATCGTCACATATGAAAAATTCTTACCTCACCCTAGGTTTGAACACCCGACCTCCGCCTATGCTATCTGTGTAGATTAAAATATACAGGGTATTCCATTAAAAAAATTAGGTTAGGTGTGGTAACTCTTACCTGATGCCATATACGTATTTTGAAAACGGAAGGTTACTAAACAATAATTATAAAGAAACTTTTTTAATAACATTTTTTGCTTCTTTTTTAACAAAGAAAAAATTTGATTATACCCAGTGTCTCTTAAGCGAGCGAATATTTTCAAATTTTGATTTTATCATTTTAAGCTTGACACCTCGCTTGACACAAAAAGACATCCTACAGTGTCGAAAATGGGACACCCTGTACTTATGCGATTTTATTTTTGGCATGCCTTAATACCCTTCACTGCGATTCCAAAGCCAAATAGATTATTACGTACAAACATTCAGGGAATTGACGAGACAACAAAAAAATTAAAAATTCAAGGAACAATTTTGACATTCCCAGCAACCCACGAAAGTGGAGCGCTTATGTCCTAGTTCAGTCCCTAGACCTCGACTTTGGGTTTTCGCTTATGCTTATGCGTTCCAGATGTGTTACTATCAAAAATTAATGGCATTCGTTGCCCAAAATCAGTTAATATCTTACTAATTCATGAATTTTCTTGGGGGAAAAAACGAATGCTCGATACCCAATAAGTGATCCAAGTGCATTTTTGGCGACCAAGATATTTGTACCCAAAAGATCCCAAAGTCGTTATTTATATGCACCAATTTTCTTGGCAAAAAGACCAAACTCAATACTCCAGAAGTGATGCTTGAGTATTTTTGGCGACCAAAAGGTTTGAACCCAATAGATGTCAAAATCGTTACTTATGCTCCAATTTTGTTGGCAAAAAGACCAAATTCGATTGCTCGATGGCCAAGAAGTGATCCATGTGTATTTTTGGTCACCAACATATTTTTGGCCAAAAAAACGTATCGACTTCAAAGGTAACGTATGTGAGTGGGATGTACTGGCAATACCCACGCGGTAGTGTTTTGGTTTACCATATGTCCTTTTCCCACATCTCTTTATCTTATCCGTAGATAACTTGAAGTATTTATTTTTTCAGTTATCAACTTGGAAGGTGAACTAGTGCCTTGCGAGATATGTGGAAGAACGTTCCTACCCGCCCCTTTAATAAAACACAAAAAAGTTTGCGAACGCAATGCGACCAAGCAACGTAAGATTTTCGACTCGCAAAAGCAACGTGTCGAGGGTACCGAGTTTGCGCCCTTCAATCAGTCCCATGTGAAAAAGACGGTCACCGGAACTCCCTACGCGGCGGATGCGTTCAAGAGGGCGAAGTGGAAAGAGAAGCACCTGGAACTGGTCAAGACGATAAGGGCGGCGAGGGGTGTCGGCATGACGAATAAACACTCCGCAAGCTCCACTAGCCTTTCGCACGACGCACCCGGAACCGAACGCTGCCCATCATGCGACAGGCAGTTTGGACCGCGTGCCTACGACAGACACGTGGAGTGGTGCAAGGACCATGTCACCTACGTGCATCGGTCACCTGCCCAGGTTCTCCTCGCGAAGGAACGCTTGGAGGCGAGAATCAAGTATCGCGTTCCCGCTCCGAAATCGAAACGGGCAGTTGTCAAGGAGAAATACTCGCCCGGTCTTGGCAGCCGAACCGAGTCTTTCAGCAGCATCAAAAGCACCAGCTGCACGTATTTGGACAACACCCATAAGGTACAGAAGACGAAACCTGTCGTCAACTTGAAAAAGTCCAACGAGCCATCGGTCTACAACCAAGGCGATAGCGCGGAGATAAATAAGAGGACTGAAAGAGCAAACCGGAAAAACTTGGAGGACCACGTTGATCCAATCAACAGGTGAGTGTGGTTGGGCGTTATCGGCTTCTTTTTTTGGAAATGAAAGGAGAAAGGAAAGAGGTGTAAGGGTTTCGAAGTTGGCGAAAAATTTATTCATTTTTTTTACTTGCTGCTGCTCATAGTAGATGTCTATGAATTGGTATATTACTGACATAAAGAAATGAGATTAAACTTTCCTCGCGATTTCTAGTACACAATCGTTTGTTACCTGTTTATTTGCGGTTCTCATGGTATTCTCAGATCTGATTTTGACTATATGCGATATGTTTGCCTTTGGTAGAAGCATCTGTGGTTAAAATTTCAACAAAACCTCTATAAATAAGAAAGTTGACATTACGCAGTCTGCGCATGCGCACATTAATCTTCAAGATGTTTCTTGGTCTAGGGGCCAGAACTATAAGCTACCGAATTCAAAAAGAACAAACTAAATATATTGAAAACTGTAGGAGGAAGGCTTCTGACAGACCTATAAACTGCACATGTGCATGTCAACATGTATAAAAACTTATGCAAATGCTTTCAGTGAAAGTAAAGCTAAATTAAATATTAGTGTATGTTGTGTCTTTAGTTAGGAAGTGCGAGGAGTGGGGTTACAGTTCCATGGGTCTTTAATCCAGCACTTGGTAAACATGCTTTCTGTGATTAAGTTCGAAGTCTTTTCTGTCTCTCACAAAATGTTTCGTGTACACCAAACGAGAAGAGTGTGTTGCTTATCAATATACAGGGTGAACATTTTGTCTGGAACACAGATTTTTTTGAAAAGAAATTTTTTATGGTATCCGAAACTATAAAAAGTTTGCCACCAATTTGTGGCCAGTGGCCGTATTTCTGCATGGTGGAGGGGGGCATTTAAAAAAATGAAAACTACTAGTTTTGGTTACATATTCTTAAAGCGTACACTTTTTGGATATAGCAACATAAAAAACTTTCTATATAAAATAATAAAATTTAAGGGAAAAGGATTTTTTCAAAAATTCGGAAAATTCACAAAACCCGACTCAAAACCTCAACCAAACATTCGAAATTAAGAATTTTAAAAAATGTGAAAAAGTGAAAAAGCAGTTTTTTCAAAAATAATAATTCAATACCTTCACACAAAATTCGAAGGGGAGAATTGAAAATTTAAAAAAGCGAAAAAATAGTGAAACTGATAATTCCGAAAAGAAGTAAATGTTTACAAAATTTTTATGAAACCCGGCAAGTTATACAAAAACTCGTCTTTATTCATGAATTTTGATTTTTCTTAAATTTTTTAATGTAAATTTTTGTGCATTTTCAATTCTTTTGGAATTTTCTTCTATTTCTAAATTTTGCAGAATTTTCCAAAATGTATGGATTTTGAACATGTTTTTGTTGATAATTCTGATTTTCGAATGTTTGCGTTTCTGAATTAATATAGTGATAAGAGAAAAATCATAGAAAATGGAAAAATAAAAAAACAACTGGAACAGGTTACGATTTTTCTAAATTTTATAAATATTAATACATTTTTTATGTTGGTGCGATTTTTTCCGTTTTTAGTTTTTCTGAATTTTTTCCATTTTTAGTTTTTCTGAATTTTCTCATTAATGTATATTTCTATATTTACATTTTCAATTCTCCTTTTGGATTTTTTTCGTGCTTTTCTAAATTTTTTTGATATTGAATTTGACGAAAATTTACAAATTTAAAATAACGTTACTTCCCTATAGAAACCTTTTATCTTTTTACAATTTCCTCAGAATTTCCTATATTTCCTCAGATTCCTTTAGTTTTCCCCAGAATTTTCTCTAGATATCCTCAGAATTTTCTCGGAATGTTTTCTTATTTTCTCAAAATTCCATATTTTCTCAGAATTTCCTACATAATTTTCGTTTTTTTACGAATTTTGATTTTTTAAAATGTCCCTGAATTTTTCATTTTATGGATTTTTTTGTATTTTTAATTCATATTTGCGAATGTTTGCGTGCGTTTCCGAATTGTTATGTATATCTAATTTTTCAATAGTTTCGAGTTCAAGGAAAATATTATTTTTGCCGCAATGTGTGTAAATTTTTATCTATTTTCTAGTCTTTTGGAATTGGATTCTCAACAAAAATTTTTTTAAATTTGGAAACTCAAATATTGGAATAGGAGAGAAGAATTTATAAATTTCTGTAAATTACACGAAAATTTACAATGTTTTTTTCACTTTTTTGAACTTTTCCAGTTTTCTGAATTTTCTAAATTTTATATATTTATTTTTGCATTTTTGATTTTTATTGTTGAACTTTTACGTATTTTTCTGAATTTCTTTGAATGCGAATTTTACAAATATTTGGAAAAAATTACATAATTCCATGAATTAAAAAATTTTTATTAAATTGTTTAGTTTAAGTTTTTCAAAAATTCGAAAGTCAGAAAACTGACTCAAAACTTAAAAAATTTGAAAAAAATTGAAATTGAAATCCTGATAATTCAGAAAAAGAAAAATTCGTAAAAATGAAGAAAAAAGTGTGGCACAAAACTGGAAAGTTGTGTTAACGAATTTTGATTTTTGTCAACTTTCTTATTTGTTAATTTTCCTGAATTTTCCATTTTAACAATTTTTATCAATTTTCTATCCTTCTACAATTTTGTTGAATTTGAATTCTTAAAATTCTTGCAAAAATTCGAAAAAATTAAATAGAATTAAAAAAATTCGAAAGAGCATAAAAGAGAAATTAAAAAAACCTTGCAAATTATACAACAACTGACAGGTATCTTTCGCGTTAACTATTTCGAGTTGTACCTTGAATTTTTTTACTTCTTTAAATATTCCCATTTTTTTTATGTATACAGAATGGCGAAGGCAACGTCGGATTTTTGTGTACAGCGTTAGATGGGGGCAAAGTGGCCCATTTTGGGGCCGAATGTTACGCTGCTTAGACAGTGAAGGAATTCCGTATACTTTCTCCCCTTCAAGTTGGGATGATTAGGTTAGTCCAACGTTTCGGTTCGCTCTAAAAGAGGAGCCATTATTGCTAAGTATAATTGCGTGTGATTTAACAAAAAAGCGTTCCATTACTGTCCAGCATTTGTTTTTTGATTATCTGACAAATCTACTTGCTTTTTGAGATATTGGAGTATTTTGGTGGGGTAATCGGGATTAGTAGCTCGTTCGAGTTTAGTTAGTAGCCATAACTTTGGGTACAATGGTCCTGGGTTCGAATCTCAGGTAAGGCAAAAAAATAGCAGCAAACAGTTCATGTTTACAAGATGTCAAGAAACTTGACTCCCTTGCTTCGAATTTCAAGCCTTAACTAGTAAACACTGCAAGACTGAAGATTACTATACTTCCACTTTTGTCTGCCTTAGAAGACGCCTACTACCATTTTAGTATAATCTATCCTAGCTCCATTCTCCTTTCAATGCCAACCGCAGTCCTTGAACTAACCCTCTTTCCTTTCCCTTTAGTCATCAGACGAACGGACTTTTAATACTACGACAAAAAGTCAATACTGTAGCAGTTAATTGCACTGTGGGCGGCTTAACCGTGCAGCCCATTAATAGACGCGAGTTGGTCACATGGAGTGAGTCGGTCGCGCGTAAATCGCGGCTCGCGTTGCCAAATTTATGTAAGAAATCAAAGGGGGAGGACGACTCGCTGATTAGACCATTTTTGACCCCGCAATTTACAAAGTTGCCAATGAGGGTTGCGACAAACAAACTAGTAACTAGGGTGGTGAACAAAAGCGAGTCACCGATACAAGTTGGAAGGCCTACCAATGGCAGTTCGAGTGAGAGTGACCTTGAACTCGAAGAAAATATGAGCAAGGTCCGGGGGAGCCTTGAAAGTAGTGAATGTGCTGATGGCGTTGAGAGTTTACGTAGTAGTGAAGCGGACAGTTTGGAATATTGCACAAAGAACGTCGAATGGGAGGATACTGATGCTGTATACTTTCGAGATAATAGTTTAGTTGAAACTGCCCAGAAACTTTGGAGGGAGGAAAAATGTACCGACCTCGACATCGAGCCTAAGGGCCCTAAGTCTTCTTCGAGCTCAAGTGACCGATCCACTTTCAAGGAAGTACTCTCCGCACATCCTCTCGATCAAATCCACTCTGAGTCTGACTTGTCGGTGTGCAACATTAGCAGTGAGGACTCGGGCGGTGAGACTTTGAGTTTAAAATTAGCTAACGACGATACGCGCGAATACGCACATCCTCCATGTGAGAGTTTGAAAGAGAAATGGCCTACTTTTGAATCCGAATTGTCGAATCCTGATCACAGCTGTAAAGCCACAACAGAGCTATCAGTAGACAGAGAGGGAAATACGAGTGATTATATCCCTAAAAAAAGGCGGAAATTTAACGATAACTTGACCACAATTGTACCTACACACTATGATAGCTACCGCTTAAATTTAGGTGAAAGCGCCATCTACAGCAGCAGGTGAGGCTTATTTTAAGGGTAGGTAGTTGAAGTGCACTTGCGATTTTTAGAAGCGAAAAAGCGACCAAGAGGCTCTCACCCAGACTGTTAGCCTTGATTAATGTGATCACGAATGCGCCAGGTGATAACTCGAACAGATCTGCTACAGATCAGCTGCTCACCATATCGATCGGGGACTGCAGGAGACTGCTAGAGCTAGACCCAAATGCTGTGCCCGTGGGAGATATGTTATCAAAAATGAATTTGACAAGGAGTAGCGCAAGTGAAGAGGCCGAATTGTTAAAAACAAAGTTACCGTTGATATCGAAGGTACCAGTCCAAAAGGTGTCCTACGATAAAAACGTAAGCAGCCGGTCAAGTATAGTAAGCTTACCTCAGATTGTTCCGAAAAGGTGAATTTTGTTTTTATCTACACCGAGTTGCCGTAAGTTTGTAGGTTATGCCATGAGGGTCTGCACTAGTGCTTTATTATTGCTTCTTAAAATTAGTGCTTTGTGGCTTGCATCATCACAGGACTTTTTGGTCCTGAAAAATTGATATTATTTTGTGCAGCGTTAGTCATATTAAAAGCACTAATGCACATTGTTAGTGCTTTATAACATTATTTCAAACAAATGGCTTGTTTGACAGGTTTTTGTTCAAGTTTTGCTATTTCACCGGAAAATCAACTTTTCCGAGTTTCTCATAGTTTATGGCTTGTATAGAATCCGAAGCGGTCAGAATTTTAAAATTGGACCACTACTTTGGAGATGTGTGTGGAAGTGGAAGTGTTGCCGTTGTTGTTGAGTTCTCCATTGTTTTGCCATTTGTTGCGGCGTAACGCGTTATACTATCAACATGGATTCTAACTAGTAGGGGTGTCATGTACCTATACAAAAATTGAATTTCAGAAATTTTTAAAAAATTACCTATCTACAGGGTGTAGCATCTAAGACCCCTCAGATCATAATTCCTTTACCCTCGCCTGTACCATAAAAGATATCGAAAAAAAATGTAGGAGTAAAATTGTTTCTAAAGTATTTCTGGTCACTAGTGGCGTACTAAACTTACGTTGTTTTTTTGGAACACCGCATATTTTATTGAAGAATTGGAAAGGACTTGAAGAGTACTTATTTTTTATGCACCTAATGTTGCTGTGGTACCACGTTGGGCGTCAAATAAATAATGATGAGACAGCCCCGTTTACTCTTCATTCTTCCTATTTGCGCAAAAACCTACTTCCTCTAATAAAATCAACATCGGTGTTCCCGACGACACCCGAAATTCCATCTACGTCGCCAGAACTGATAAAACATCTGCATCGTTTATCTCGCACGTGACATTGTTTGTCGAAAAACTAAGTCATTTTTGTCCGATTTCGTTTAAAAGTTCACCAAGTTACCGGTTTTAAATTTATCATACAAACTAAATACATCAAATAGAATGAATTAAACAATTACCAACTAAATTTACAAGAAGAAACTAACATTGAAATGATAAACTTTAACGAATAGGGGATAGTGCGAGGCCGTTCTGTTGAAACCAACAGTTTCCAACTTATGTTTCTTTTGTGTACCGCACATCGTCGTATTCGTAATAAGAAACGTTACTCGATACAGTATACGTTTTTTTCCGGGCCATATAAAAAAATAAAGTTGATGATGCTTTCTTTGGAACGAAACGTTGTATTGAAAATCTCTCAACGGTGTCTTGTAGAGCTCAAAAAATTGCAATGAGGCAGTCTTTTTTCATTTTATTGTATCTGTTCAAATAACATCAGAAAAAAATAAAAACTAAATCGGCAACTTTCGTTTTTTCTGCCATATCTTCTGAAGCAATCGGAATTTTCTGTACGCTTTCAGTAGCAAAATAGGTATTTGGAAATCAAACGCGAAAAAAGTTATTTAAAAGTGATAATTTCCGGTTTAGTATCACCGTAAATACGAGCAATAGTGGAAGTTTTAAACCTCAAAGATCAAAGTACTGGTGGACTATTGCTAGTACGGATAACGGCGTGAAACTGCAAGGTGCATTATAAAATTAATGCGCATTTTCTAGTCAACATTGATTTGTAGACCCGATCAGTACAAATGGTTACAATTCTCCAAGATAATCTCCTCCTACGGAGACCATTCTGCCACGCTTGGAAGACACTCTGGAACTCCTCGACTGGATACCTTTCAGAATCCTTGTAACGTGAGGTTTGATGTTTTCTACCGACTCCCAGTGCTTTCCCTTCAGCCCTCGTTTCAATTGGGGGAGCAAAAATAATCGCATGGAGGACTGTAAGGGATCTGAGGCACCACGGGGGTCTTGCTCTGGGTCAGGTAGCTGGTAACGACAAAGGCCTAACCATGGTGGCGCTTGAAGATGTCGCGCCTGACGCGCGCGACCCGGCGTTTCAGCCTCTTGAGCAGCCCCAGGTTAGAGGCCGCGTTGACAGTTTGTCCTTGCGGTACAAACACAAAATGGACGATTCCTCGGACGTCAAGGATGAGAGTCAGGATTGTTTTTAAGCGGGACTTGCTTATGTGTGCTTTTTTGGGTTTAGGAGAAGATTATGCTGCGCTACTCAGGGCTCTGGTTTTTGGATTTTGGATCGTACATCCAGGGTTGAGTTTCCGTTGCATTCTTCCCGAGCTGCACACAAAATTTGATGGCGTACCGCTGTTCCAGCGAACTCTCCAGCGCCAGCGGTGGTCACTTCGGAAGAACTAAAACAAAATTACGGCGCACGGCCCTAGCGGAAATGAAAGCACAAAACACAAATTAATTAGCGGCGTCTACGGGAAATCAAATGCAGGAAAGCGGAACAATATCCTTTTATAATTAAGGAAACAGAAAGCAGCATAAAGCTTACTTTGCAATTAAACGGAGCGATAGAAGTTGAAAGTTCAAAACCTGGAAATGCTGTGCGGTAGACGTAATGTAAAAGTAAAAATTAAATTGTAGGAATGCAAAATAAATTTACGCAAAGTATCATACATTAAAAACATGCAAAAGGCAAATAGCATCTCATGGGCGGAACGGTGGTTTTCCCAACCATCCCAGTGTGTTCGGATAATTACGTCTAAAAATTAAAATTTTCTTAATTAATTTCTGGGCTTCTAGTCATCATAAAAATCGGGGACATATTCCAAAATTTCAAATAATTAAGCGCGCTTCTGATGAAACCACTTACGACTTAATCGGATGTTGTTTACTGCAACTCATTAATGATTACATTCACTTAAATGGAGGACATGAAATTTCTAAATTCGTACTTCTAATTAACCCCCATTGTCTCTTGAATTTCTCAGGTCAAGCGTCTTGTCAAACGCATACCGGCGTAAACCTACATGGCCTTGCAGTTTTAATGCTCGTTTTAATTTCATATAGGTACCATTGGAAACTAAAACCTGCTAATAATGAGCTGAAATTCTAAAATGCGCCCTCGTATTCTTCCGGGCGCAACAAATATAATTGAAATATGTTGACGGGAACGGTTGCAAACGGCGAATTAATTACAGCTTTTGTTTACGGTAACGGCGGCTGAAACACAACTACAAATTAACTCAATTACTTTTATCTTCTACTTTCAACTCCTAGAACTAATATAAATATTTTCGGCACGACACCTTTCGTAACGGATCGCCTCTAGATACCGGGTGGTCATGAAAGTATGTAAACTTCAAGGCGGAAAATAGGTGCTGCGTTTTGTGAAATATTTGTAAATGGTTGCGGGATGGGGTTTAGAACTGATTCTATTCTTCATGGTATCTTTATGAAACATGCTGATCAACTGATGTAAAATCTGAGACGCATTTTCCTGGAAGGAATGACATGTTTCGTCATTCAATTGAATAACAAAACAACTTTCTCTGAAGGTGATGGGTGATGTCAATATGAAATATTGTTTCCTGTTACAAGACGCCTTTTCCTGTATCGGATTTCCCTTGTCCTTATCCAAATCGGAGTGGTACTTGTGGCATTGCTTTGATTTGCTCTTCACGTGTTTCAGTGTTACACATCCCGACTACAACCCATTTCTAACAGCCGAACGACAACTTATGGAACTTTTGGAATGTGACGACTTTCAGCCATTCATTAGTAAACATGAGACTATCAAATCTGCAAATCGTCCACACACCGTCAGTGGTTCCAAAACGAAATTGAACGAGGCAAATCACAACAACAACAAAATTGTAAAATCCGCCGAGACAACGCGAAAGAAACTTTTTAAAAATGGCGAATCCAAGAAACGTGCGTCCGTCATAGACCCTCCCACCGATTTCCAAGACGGCGACGATTTCGAACTGATCGAAAGTCTTATAAACCAAAATTACCTGGAGAGCTACGATCTACTCGACGCAATAAACGAGGATATGACCAAAACGCGCAATCAGGACGATTCACCAACGATCGATCCACGTCTAATAAACGAGAACGATAATCTAGCAATTCCCGATCATTTAATTGTGCATCACTCCTCGTCCAATTCTAGTAACGATAATCTCGCGCCCTTGACAAAAATTTCGTCTTCAACTCGCCACCTGACTCGCTCTTCCGAAACACTGCACCAGACGGCCAACTCACGCAATAAAGTTACCAAAACTGTAGATACCAATTCGAAAGTGACTAAACCGAAAAAGGCGGCAATTGTACGTAAACCTTCCGTCTCTTCTAGCAAAAACGCCCCGACGTCCGAAGTACGAAAGCCTGCACCGTTTAAAAAAAGCCTATCCGTTCAGGAACCGCCCAAACCTAAGAGTAACTTTAAAGACGACCTACAAGTCGAAGTTTTGAAAAAACCTCGCAAGTCCACTGAGGTATTTTTAGATAATTTTCTTTGTCAATTTTGATTTCGGCTTAATTTCAGTTGCCGAGCGTCGATTTCGCCAAAGGCGACGACCTTTTCGACGTCGACGACGTAATGCTGGAGGAATTCAAGAAATTCGAAGAAAACTATTTGAAGGACAAAGACAAACAGCGGCGAAAAAAGGAACGGGAACTGCACGAAGTCTCCACCAACGTGGATAATGGTGGAGGCAGTCCAGTCTCGAAGATCAACATCGATTCAGCATATAACAGGTAATTATTTACTATTATAGTCATTTAAACAAATATTCCTGTTCAAAAAATGATTTAATTAACTAACGTTCCTGAATGTGGGATAACTAAAAAGAGATAGTTGCTCGTATCAGGATCACAAATGCTTAAGAAGCACAGTCACTTTCTGGTGTCCTGATCAAATATCTCTTTGACAATTTTGAATTAGGACTACATAAAAGGACAAAGACACTTTCTCGTGGGTTATGGCTTCCTGGTTAAAATTTCTGTTTAAAAATCTTGAATCAGGATCAAACACAATGGTGTAGTAGGATTTTCCTTAGTTTGCGCGCACCGCGCACGTCATCGGTATATTATGACGTCATCACTAAGTATGTTTACATAGCATTGTACAATCAATGGAAGAGAACAGGTATGTAACCATTGGCGGTTCTTTTTATACACAAATGACAAAGGAAATTGATTTAAAAACTCATAAATTTGTACGTAAAAAAAGACGAGAACATATAAAATGTATTACGCACACAATCAGGCGATGTCAGGGAAACCTTCTTCGGGACAAAAACCCTGGCGTAGCCCACACAAAACCACGAACTAGATTAACAAAGAACGAAAGCGAAAGAAAAGCCACAAAATATTTCAAATTGTGTAACAATAAAAATCAGGTCACGAATTTCAAGATTGCTGCTTATATACAGGGTGAGTTTTTTTCCACTTCTACTATGGGGATTTCGTAAACGGTCAGAGACTTTCCGGTTTGTTAAATCTTAAATTTAAATTGTGAACGTCCGTTCGAAAGCGGATTTTGTTATAAAGATACGCTGGTTTCTTATATAAAAGCACCTTATGGCATAGTGTTGCAAATAGTAGTTTTCTCCTGTTATTCATGTCTAGCCAGTTCAGATCGCTCAACTTATGGGAGATGTGCTCAAACTTGCGTATGCCGTTCCGTGTCTAACAACTGATTTATTGTGCAAATAGTTGTAACGGATGTTACTAATTTTCCTTTTCTCCTACTTCTTCTGGTTGATAAAATTGGAGGTGGTTTTTATGATGTAGTTATATTAATATGCCTCGGCTGCTTGTCGGTTAATAACCCTCTTCTGGCCTCAAGGATAAGGGGCGAAGGATTAAATAAAAAGTTAACTAACTTTATTCAAGGTTAACGGTTCTTTTTTTTTCTTAAAATATCGCCTTTATTGTAAGAGAACGCATTAGTAAATGGGGGGTTGGAGGAGGCACGATATTGTAAGGTATATGGTTTATATGGTTAAGTAGTTTATAGTAATAAGCTACAATGAGTCTGATCTACAAAGGGGCGAGCTACGATCGGAAGTAATTCTACAACGAGGTGATTATGACAAAGGTAATTGTTTATAAATACCTTGATTGCACTAGAAGAATATGCACTAGAAGTTCTCGATGTGCTTCAATGTGAAGCTGTATGGGTCCGCCCTCGGAATTTGGATGTAGTGGAGCACACACGGACCGCCGATAATGTTTAGGTGTGGCGTCTCGTTGATTCAATGTGGTAATGAAATTGGCTTCCCACCTGGACTTTGCACGGACCGGCACGGAATGCCCTCACTGTCCTCTGTTGGGGAAATTCTCGAATACTTCGTTCTCAAAATGCTGCTTCAATTCTCGTTCGGGAACTACTACGGCTCAAGGAGATTGTAATTGGTTCTCCACGTAATTTTCGGTCTTCTAAGTATCGCCAAGACGATTCGCTCGATAACGCAGGGTTTGGATGCGCGAAACAAACTAGCTCAGGTTCCGCGTCTAAGATGCCCGTGGAAACCCGAGCGCGAATGCACTTGTATTTATACCCTCTCTCTTCGTATCTATTGCAAACGCCCAAATCGGATGTTTTTAATCGGTATGAATCGTTCTTCTAATAAGTGTTGAATCGCTTGATATGTGCTGTAAGTTCGCGATCATATACGGAGTAACGACGTTGGGTTTTGGGAAACGCTTGGTTGTAAAATCCGAGTGGTTGTAACTGAGTTGATTGAGAACTGCTCAAGCGCCAATATCTAAAACGTCTGTTGTATAGGGATAACTTGGCGTTTTCACCAGCATATGCTAGCCTTGCTGTTTTGGCAATGACATCCGGTATAAGAGGTAGCGGTTACGGCGTTTAGTAAACGAAAATCCTCACAAAGGGGCCATATATGTTCCGTCTGATTTCCTTAGCATTGACATAAAAACGCCTGTCTACATTCAACCAGTCAACATGTGTTTTAATTTACTGGGTTGAATCATGTTCTGAGGGAGTTTCCAATCGCTGCTTGTGTGAAACCATCAACATCGCTAACGGGTTTTTTACATTGTCTTTTTTTCGGACTTTCTAGTGAAATAGAAGTCACTGTTCACAGGGTAATATTTAATGCATCCGCAACTCTCTGTGAAATGAAACTTGTTACGTATACGACTTGAATCACTCACCTCTCTTACTTCTGCGACTGGTAAAAGTTGACCACCACTATTCTCTTTCTCCTTTAAGATAAAGAATAAGATTAGAAAAGTTGCTTACTTTTTCTTGGTGAACCTGATGGCATTTTTGGGTTATATAGCTTTTGGTGCATAGTATTGCAGTGAGACTTACGGAAGTTATACTTCCATAATTGTTCGTTATGAAACTAACGGATTTTTTATCGACTAATGTAGCAAAACGCGATAAAAGAATGAAAACGGTACCAAACAGTTATCCAATTTGACGTGTCGCAATGTAAACGTAAACGACCACAATTTCGATTGACAGGTAACCTGAATACAAAAAAGACCCCTGACCGTTTATGTGGTTTAAAATGATTTTTTTAATTTTTGTTGGTTGGCATTACAATATTCCCCAAAAACAGAGTTGATGACGTGCGCGCAAACTAAATAAAATCCTACTTCGTAAAAGGTATTGACATACACCTAACGTATAACGTTCTTCTGGTACAAATTTCTTTCAGCTGTTCTGTTAGAACGGCAGGAGTGCAAGAAAGTGAAAGGACAGATACCATTTCATGTGTTATGTTCTCCCAGTAGAAATTTTTCTTAGCTCTCACTGAAGAAGCACATGAAATTGTGATAGATACCGTTCCATTTAATATGTCCCCTTGATTCGAATTTTTTTTATTGCTTGCAGGGTCACTGAAACCTAAGGTGTGAAATTTATTTCTCAGGCGTTATGTGTTCTTGATATGTGTTTCGTTGTGGAAACTCATACATCAGTACCACATAAAGACACTAGGGATAAAATGTACACGTCAAGTATGTGCTCCTAATACAAATTTTTAAATATTGTATCAGGATGACGGAAACCCAGGAAGATCCTGATTCAAGTTGTGTTTACCTCTTAGAACCACTGAAACTTTAAAAAATGTGATATATGTCGACGGTAATTTCTCATGCATTATGTTCACTTAATGTAAATTTCGTTTTGACAAAATGAATTTACAAAATTTGTTAGCAGACATCTCACGTATTATGTGCTCCTTTTACAAACTTCTTTTAAATGTTGTATCAGATCGACAGAAACACAAGAACAACAATTTTGTTCTTATAACATATTCAAATTGTATCAGGACCACATAAACTCCCATGAAACTTAAAAAACCCGTAATTGGGTTGGTGCTCAAAACAACAGAAACGTATTTTAATAGAATTGATAGTCTTAACAGGAACAATCCGAAAGTTCGAGCGAAACCGAACAGTCTAAGCCCTCTGGAGTACAATCGGCCGCAAACAAGCCCAATAGCGAGTCCGACCTCGAGTAGTTCAGATACGACTTCCATGCCGCTCGAGTCGCAGCAGCGAGTATCGAAATTTTGCCACGAGTGCGGTACGAGATATCCGATCATCACGGCCAAATTTTGCGTCGAGTGCGGCGTTAAGCGATTGGTCTTGTAATGTCTTTTTAGTTAAACATTTTTTTTACATACAACGCCGTGGTTATGTTTTTACTATATACACTGTTATTCATTTCTACTACTTACAATGTTTTATTTAGAGGAACAAATAAATTGCGTGCTTTTTAATGTCCGAGTGTATTTTAAAATGCTCAGTTTTTGTTGCAATGTAGATTTTAGTTGCGTGACTAGTGTTGTGTTATTATGTTAATATTAAGTTTGTTTGTTGATATTTACCTCAGTATTGTTGATTGTGAACTTTGTTTTGCGGGTAATTTTAATCGTTCTTCCTCTTTATTAATGGTCTCCTGGTGCAATTATTCACTATTAATGTTCAACTTTGTTTTTAGAATTTTTATCTACAGGGTGTCCTATCTAAGATTTATTGTGGTATTGACAGAAAAAATACATCAAAATCTGGTATGGAATCAAAATGGTTTAATACTGCAATCTATTTTTAATTATATAAAATCTATCTGGTACAGCCTACGTGTGCCCATATTTTAATGCCCACAATTTGTATCTGTTGGTTATTCTTGGAGAGATAGAACGCGAAGTTTTGCAGAATTTTGAGCCGATTCCAAATATCACTTTAAATTTAGTCTCATTTACTAATGTCTTGAAAATAAATGATATTTTTATAATTTAATTTGAGGTTTAGTTTTTGCTAGATATATTATTTTTATTTATTTATTTTCTTTTTTTTTATTTTCTGTTAATGAACGGAATCACATGAGTTAGATGGAAGAGCATGGTATGTTTCATTCCATTACTGAATCTCGCCCTTTGTACAGTTTCTATGTAATTAACCTAGGTACTTATTAAAGACATTCATTATTATTATTAATTTGACATCAGTTCAGAATTCTAAAAAGCTAACTGAGGTATCATTAATAATAAGCATTGAAATATGGACAGACTATAATAAACAAGGTAAAAGCTGAAGCACATGCACGCACATTATATGCTAGACTTAATGCGTTTTGTACTTTACAGGTAGCAAATGATGATTAATTATTAATATTGTAAACACTAAATATTAGGCCATTAGAGTAATATTTTTATAATGAATAACTATGCCTTAATTTGATGTTACTGATGACTAATTTGGATGAAAAGAGCAAGAAGTATAAGAATGACTATGAATATAATGTCAATTGAAATGGTATCCATTTTCTTGATTTGCATTTACTAGCTACATTTTGTAGCATAGGTGGGTGGAATGATGATTAGCAATATAGCGTCAGACAATGTGCTTAATTTGAAATCACAACGTTTTAATGTTTGTGAAGACTGAAACAAGTGCTTAATGTTATAACTTTTGTATTAAAAAAATAAAAACTAAATAAGTGCCTAACTAGTTTGTGTCGTTTCATTTGAGCGGTAAATAGAGTGTGGCCTCCCTGTGTCATATGTCAAATTAATTATCATTCACTTCAATAGCTCTGTTAAGCTTGACTCCACTTCAAGACTGCGACTTTTTCTACACTTACTCTACCCTTCCCATTTCAGGCCAAACCGTTAGTTGTCTCCATGCACCTGTAAGTTTTTTTAAAAGCACCCCCCACTCCAACCCTTTTCATCTTTGCTTAACGCATTATGACTGCTCATCACCTGAAACTTTTCTTCACACCTCTCGATTGTTTCACATCATGCATAGGCTTTTGAAAATTCCAAGGGAGTTGGCACTGCATCCAAAATTTTTCCAGCTGTGGCCCGGCGTAGTCAGGTGCCTATGCATCTTTAGATTCATTTTCTTCCTCATTACTTTTTTTCCTTCGCCCTCACTTTCACCGCATACTTACTTCAAACCTCTTTCACTTTTTTCCATAAGCCTTCCTAGCATCCTCTTTGTTTCTTACATGTCTTCACGTATGTTTGACATCACTTTAATGTTTTTCTCTCTTCGACACTTTTCAAACCCTTATCGTGCTTTCTTCACATATACATAACGTCTTTGTTTATGTCTACATCAGAACTTTCTTACGCTTCCGCTGTATTTCCTTCATACCTTCCCCACAATTTGATTTATACATCTCGGCGTTCATTCTCTGCCCCATATTTTGATTCCTTTACACCTCTTTCATGGTTCATTCACACTTTCAGCATGTCCCATTTCAGCCTTGTCTGCGTCACTACGTGTGTCCTCCTCCCATTTCACATCCCCTCCACACTTTACCAATGTGTTCTTTACGACTTCTTCTCTTCATACCTTTTCGTAACTTTCACAAATCCATAATTCTGCTATTGTGATCAGTATTAATGGCAGTTTCTTCTTATTAAAACAGAGCATAGTGGACAACGTCTAAATCTGCTGCACAAGTCTGTAATTGTATTGGTATAGCATTGGCACTATTTTATATTTAGTGTTCTTTAGTTAAACTTTCTTTTGTTGCACGACATTCTGATACAAAAAGAAGTTCAATGTTCAGGTAGTATATTAATAATCGTATTTTTTGACTGGCTGTATACGATGAAAGATCACTGATCGCTGCCATTCACGTGCCTATTATTTAGACACATGCAAATGGTAGGGAGTGGGGAGAAATAATCGCGTGTTATTGGTTAAATGGCAGTCAAAAATTGCCTCCCGATACACTCGCAGTAAAACTGTATGCTAATATTTCGGTTTTTTAGTTTGCAAATATGAGTAGACTGCTGAAAGTGAACTCCCTCATAGCCAAATCCGTATTTTCCAAGGTACCAGTTACGCCTTAAATATTTCAATAGAAAAATCCAATCACCTCTGCATGTTACATAACTGCCCAAACATTTGGCCAAAATCTGACTGCACTTGTTTTAAAGGTTGATGCTCTCCAACCAATCACAAGCCGCGGTCTGCACATCTCGGTCAATCGAGGCGAAGCTAAAGTGAACACCAACCTTTCGAAAGTCTATCCGACTGTCGACCACACTTACGATGCCGTCGTTGTGGGTGCAGGTGGAGCGGGACTGCGAGCCGCTTTCGGACTTGTCGCCGAGGGATTTAAGACTGCCGTAATTACAAAGCTGTTCCCTACACGTTCGCACACCGTAGCCGCTCAGGGGGGAATTAATGCAGCATTAGGTATTTTAGATTCAGTTTAATCTAGCTATAATCATAAAAAATAATATATAATTTTCGGTAATTACTGATAATTGATTTCCTTTCTGACTCACTTAGTTTGCCAATGTCAAATCTAAATTGCTTTATTCTGAGATAAATTAGACTGGCATGGGAATACTTTATTCATTTTTTTTAATGTACTGCACTTTATTGCCAATGGAGGTGGTCTTAATTACTGAAGTTGTTTGTAATCACATGATCTGGTATTTCCACTAAACAATCGCCGAGAAGTTCTTCTAACTCGATTGCTTCAAGGTGAATCGGTAAGAAGTTGTTTACAATAACAAACTTAAGTGATACTGGGCACAATTTGTTAAATCTGTCAACCTTGCCTAGATTTTGTTTACATTTTAGGTTTAAAATCGCTGGATTCCTGCATCTACAGGGTGTTTTGTATGGAACAAATCTGTGTATTTGGTGGTATTGACGTGATCGACTTTTGAATTGTACATTTGTACAGAATAAGAGACCGCAGAACATATTTTTTATTGCGCCTATTTAATATAGGCCCCAGAATTTGTTACTGATCAGTATACAGAGTGGCTTGTAAGTAATATACTATCTAAGCCAATCACTCCAATTTGAAAATACTGCAAACAATAAATCTAAAAAGGCTTAGTTGGCCACGATTTTTTGTTATTGCATAAAAAAAACAATTGAGCACCATTTTTAACAATTATTAAAGTATGTCAAAAATGACTAAATTTAGGTAGGCAAGTATAGAACATTATCTGTAGGTACATTGAATGTAAATATATAGAATCTTACGTAAATTCTAAAATGTAATAATATTTATTTCCTGTGCCCTGTTTAAAATAAGCAAATTGGCATCAACTTTTGGTGTACCCTGAATTCCTCTGATCTTGTGCATTTGACAAATGTTCAGAATATTTTGAGGTCTCCTTTTCGAGATGTAGGCATCCGGCATTTGTCGTGAGACAGCTTCTTAAGTTCTAAACAAATTTGATTACTATTAGTTATCATTTAGGGGCATAATAGAATTTTTTAATTGACAGAAAGACCAAAATATGTAAGTTCTGTCTTTCGGTGGAGTCGTCACAGGGTTGTTATACATTATTTGAGAGTTTACGCCATTCTCCAATCAGACTAAATAGTAATAAGTGCCTCGAAAGTGAGGAAAAATTTGGGCTCCTTTTAATTTAAACTTGACATGTTTGAGCATACTATCTAACATTGCCAAAAAATATATAGGTTGCCATTCAAAATTTTTTGCGATGACATCACATTCTGAAACTATGACGTCAGAAAAAAAATTGAAAACCGTTAGATTGTGGCAAATATTTATTACATATTATATTATCATTCAACTTTTAGTAACAATTTTTTTATGTGACCAATAGTAAAGGTTCCACCATCAATGTTCCTTACTTTTTATTTACCCTGTATATTATATCATATTTATCAAAATTTTGAAATAGCATGCGTCTACTGTCCACCATTTTTATTGATTCGTATTGGCTGCACAATACACAAAACAAAATCTCGATAAATCCATCGCCTACTATTTAAAAACCGTAAAAAAATAAGCATTTTTATTTTTGGTTCATGGCTAAAATTTAAAAAAATGTAGGTTGTGGTACATCAATGTAATCAGGAAAAATTATATAAAAAAAATTACGGTAAGGAAAATTTTTTTTTGCTACGCCACTAAAAATATCTAAGATAAACTGTTTTTACCTTTTTTTTTATCTTGCATGGGTAGTAAGATATGATAGATTGTTCTAACGATATTGTGTGAAGCATCATGTATACAAAAACCGACCGTGTTTTCTATTTTCGATATTTATAGCCTATAGGGTATCTGCGCCATGTGCTATTTTTAGGTCAAACTTAAAAAGCTAACATCTTACTGGATTTACCTCGTGTTTTAAATGGTCACCCTGTAGATTTTAATGTAAAAAGCGAGGTAAAAAGATGGCATGTTAAATTCTCTTTTCAAAAATATAACACACAAACAAAAATTCAAAACTGCAAACTTCAGATTATTCCACAATCGTTATAATTTTATAAAGAAACTTTTGTGTGAAATATTAGAAGCGGCGCCATCTTGGTTTTAAAAAAATAAAAACACCATTTTCTAATTTTTTCTAAATGCGCTAGTGTATTCTGTATTCAATCCAATTAAGATTTAAGTACCTATCTGTCATAGTTTTTGACATATATAAATTTTTCTCTAAAAATTTGAAGATGCAATTATCCATTCATAAATTCATATTTTGTAAACCATCCAAGATAAGCTAGTGCTCTTTTTGGCGCATTTTTGAGAATTAAAGAAAATGTGCCATTGTTTGTGTTTTGTTTGTCTGTCTATCTGTCCGTCTGGACCCACTTTTGCGGTTTTGAGCAACTTTTAGGGGAATTGTCGAGGCCTGGAATTTCCCGATATTTCCCGAGATGCTGTTTTTGAAAGTAAAACTGAATAGCTTTTACATGGGACATTTGTATACGCATGCCTCTAGTGGTACCATGCCATGTAAAACGTTTGAAAATGGGGCGGAAGAGAAGGGGAGTAAACACACCTCGAAACACACGTTCTACCCTTCATGGTATTGCAATGAAAGGTTTTTGAATTTTTGAATGGGCCCTTGCATTTCAAAATTTCTTGAAAAAAATTGCCAAAAACTACTACAGACTTAAATCTTAATTACGTCGCATTCAGAATAAAATTCACATTTAGAAAAAAAAGTAAAAAATGGTATGGTTGCCATTTTAAAAAATCAAGATGGCGTCAGTCTCGCTATTTAGGTAAGCAGCGTCATTTTGAAATTATTTTATTTCAATTCGCAATAGTCGATTATGGCTGTAAACCAAATTCCAAGTTTATATTTCAACTGCAAGCTTAAAAACTTCTAAACGAACGTGCTACGTGAATGTAAATCAAATATGCGCATGCGCGCACTGCGCAATGTCAACTGTCTTCAGATTTTCTGAAATTTTAACCGTAACTGGTTCTAATAAAAACAAACGTAGCGCATATAATCAGAATCAAATTCGCGCATGCGCGAGCTCAGCAATAATCAAGGGTCAAGCTTGCTGACACCAGCCAACTTCAGAATTCAAGGTTGCGCATTCTTCTTGCCTCAATTTTTTTGTATTTTTTTAGTAAAAGTCTACATCCATTGTTCACTTTACTTTGACTGTCATTCGATTCAAATATTGACCTTATTATTTCGTTTATCAACGCAAAAGTTATTGTAAATCTGTGCAAGCTACGTACAACCGCAAGTTTGATTCGAAACAGTAATTACCCCTGCGCCTTTCCTTTAATTGGCTTAATTAGTTCTTTAATAAGTTTTTTTAATTACTATTTTGGTTAATTTATATTGCACTTACCGAAACTTAAAAGGTTTTCAGTGTTGGTGCACTCTTTTATCACCAACTTTGACTGCACAAGTATAATTGCTGAATAAATGGAAACAAGGGATACTGGTAGCATGATTGGCTTTAATTGACATACACTTGTTGACTGACACGTTTCATAGATAGCAATATGTGTACCTAGTAATTTACATGTCCGTATACGTATACGACGTAATGACGAATCATTGCTTTTAATTATATTTTAATTTTTTTTCTATTTATTTTTTTCTTCGATTTGGGGTCAAAATTGGTCGATTTTAAAAAATGAGGTTAGCTTCCGTATACATGTTTTGAAAATGGCAGATTATTCAACAATTATTATAAAGAAAATTTTGTAATATACATTTTTTGGTATCCCTTTTAACTAAGAAAATATAGGGTCATTGTGAAATTGACCATGTTTTGGTTTTCCCTGTATCTCTCAAGTGAACGAATAGTTTGATTTCACCATTTTAAGTTTGACCCAAAAGGAGCATACATTTTTAATATTTACAATATTTAAAACATTAGTCATTTTCAAAATATCCCAAACAATTCCAAAGTCTTCAAAATATTTAACATTTCCAAAACGTTTTTGTCATTTTCCAAACGTTCTGTACGTTTCCAAATTTCCCTAAACATTTTCAGTGTTTTTTAAATATTCGAAATTTCCAAAATTTGAAGGTCGAGGGTAAACGGGGGGAGTTAGTGCAACTCTCTTAAATCACAATTCAAAATAATTGTTTTTTTAAAGGTAATCGATACTTACATTTCGACATTTTAACATTTTCTGTGACATAATTCTTTTAAATTTTCATTTCCAAAATTTCCAATCGTCGAAAATTCTCATTTTTAACACTTAAACATTTCCAAAATTTTTTGAATATTTTCAAAATATGTCATTAAACAATAAATAAATAGTTAATTATGGAAGTTTGCGTCCTTCTTGAATTATATAGTTCGCGCTCATCTAAAAAGTACCCGTATGCTCAGGGTTCTCTTGATTTCTCCTGATATTTTACTGTTAATAAATGGACACATAAGGGGAATCTTAAAACTAGAGTGCGCGCTTGCGCAGAGCCAATTTTTTTATATACTATGGAAATGTTCACAATAGATGCTTCCAACAGAGTAAATAGAAATAGTTACTTGTACTGATGACCAAGTGTGGATGCTGATTGTTTGTGTATTGCTACATTTTTTTCTCACAGGAAATATGGAAGAAGACGATTGGAAATGGCACATGTACGACACCGTGAAAGGTTCCGATTGGCTCGGCGACCAAGACGCCATCCATTACATGACAGAAGAGGCGCCAAAGGCGGTAATCGAATTAGAAAATTACGGAATGCCATTTTCGCGCACGCCCGAAGGCAAAATATACCAAAGAGCCTTCGGAGGACAATCCTTAAAGTTCGGAAAAGGCGGCCAGGCGCATCGGTGCTGCTGCGTCGCGGATCGTACCGGGCACAGTCTGCTGCACACCCTTTACGGGCACTCGTTAAAGTACGATTGTAACTATTTCGTGGAGTATTTCGCGCTCGATCTCATTATGGAAGATGGGGAGTGTAGGGGAATCACCGCGTTGTGTCTAGACGATGGTACCATTCATAGGTTTCACGCCAAGCACACTGTAAGGTACTGTTGTATTTTGAGGGATTGTTAGCTAAGTTTGTACAGGTGTTAGCGACTGGAGGGTATGGTAGAGCGTACTTTTCCTGCACTTCGGCGCACACGTGTACCGGCGACGGTACTGCAATGGTGTCGCGTGTCGGTTTGCCCAACCAAGACTTGGAGTTCGTCCAGTTTCATCCGACTGGCATTTATGGGGCGGGTTGCTTGATAACCGAGGGGTGCCGAGGTGAAGGAGGTTACCTGATTAATTCCGAGGGGGAGCGTTTTATGGAGAGGTACGCGCCAGTTGCCAAGGATTTGGCATCACGAGATGTTGTGTCGAGGGCTATGACTATTGAAATTCGTGAAGGTTTGTCTACTTTGTACTGCCTACGCCAGTGAAAACTCGTTATAGGTAGAGGCGTCGGGCCGGAGAAAGACCACGTTTATCTGCAGTTGCACCATTTGCCCGTGGAGCAGTTGGCAGCGCGACTTCCCGGTATTTCCGAGACGGCCATGATTTTCGCCGGGGTTGACGTGACTCGTGAGCCCATACCGGTATTACCAACAGTGCATTATAATATGGGAGGCGTACCAACTAACTATAAGGGTCAGGTAAGTAAATTTCCTTTGACCTCGTCCTTATCCTATCCTTACCCCTCTCCTAGGCTGGAATCATGAGAGTATGGCGGCCGTTCAATTGAAAGGCAAAGCACTAAGAACACTAACGGAACGTATTTCAACAGCAATTCATTAGGCTACTATGTGAAATTTGTTAATGGCCATTCAATTTTCTTAAGGAGAACCAACCAGCAATTTTATACAAATCAAGAAAAAATTACAGTACTTTACATATAGCGATATCTGGACATGTTCCCCTTTTCCTAGAGATGGTTCTTTTGGAAGGGACCATAGATAATGGAAACTGGAGAACGTGACTGATTAATTTCGCGGTAATTAGACTGTCAGCCGTCAAGTAACTTTCGCTTTCGTAATACAATTTATTAACAACTTGAAATAGCAGCCGATTTAAATTGTTTCGACCTTCGAAAGGGAAAGTTTTAAGTTATTTAGAACTGTCACTGTGTTTTGTTTTACACTCATTATTTCTCTTTACCAATTTTATGATACTAAGTAACTCGATTACGGAAAGGTCTTCTCGGCTTAAATTAGACCGCACCGTAATTAATTCATTTTCTTAACTGATATTCGAATTTCCCGAAATACTTGCCCCTATGAAACTCGCGAGCCACACGAAAAACTTAGTTTTCAACAAACTGGTTACTAATTCTCCTCCTGAACTAATCCCTACTTCTCATTTAAATTTACAAAATGGCGCTAAGCGAAACGAAACGGATTCGTTCAGTTCCACGAATCAAAAGCGCTCGGAAGCCATTCATTACCCACGGCCGTTTAATATTGTAAATTTAGCGCTTTCCATGGATCCCCTGCTATCATTTTGCGTAATCTTGATTGGGCTGTTTTGGGCACGTAAAACCTACTAAGATTGTATTATCGCTCGCCAACGGCTGATTGTCGCCAGTAATGGCCATTAACCGATCACGACAGACACGGAAAACAGTGATCCATAAATAAGAACCTACTGACTTTTGAAACATTGAAACCCGTAAAACTAACCATCTAATTGGAATACCCTGTATACTGCCTGGAATTCGAAAAAAAAACCCAACACCAGGGCTTCTGTTACACGCCCCCTGGAAGGTTTATCTACGGAAGAATCGCCCCGGCAAGATTCGCTCAGAAACATTCGCCACCGGAAATTTGTTTATGGAAGATTCGCCCTCGGAAAATTCGTCCTCAAGAAAAATAGCGTGACTACCACTTTGTGATAAGTCAGATAGCATCAATAAACTACGGCGTATTTTGGTTTGCGAGGTGTCCCCCATACTAAGTTTATTACTGCATTTCTTTTATTAAAAAAATGTGACATTGTTTGCCTTTGTTCGTCGGTCCGTTTTGAGTTACTTTTAGGGGAATGGCCCTGGAGTCCCAAAATGTGTCTGCGATATCCTGTAATCCCGACCGTAGGCGATCTATTAACCGCTGAAAAGTTGAAGGGGAGTTCCTCAACCCAAACGACATGCGCTTGAAACGAAAATCTACAAAATGCGACGTGAAAGCACTCTTATCGCGGTCTTTTTCTTTACCGGAACCTGCCAATAATCGGACCATAAGTCTAGCATACATAGTCATATATAGTCCATTTGTTATTACTGTTCCGATATGGAATTAACTCCACTAAATGCAGCGTTAACTTTTTTTTACTTCACGTCGTCGATTTAATATAACTAATTCTATTAAACAAACTGCAACGCGCTATTGTTGACGTGCAGAATAAGAATGAACAAAGTACGGTTCCGAAACGGTTAATCGATTCTAGATCGTATTGCTTACGTCAAATAATATTAATTGAACTGAATTTCGCTTGCATCCCGTTTTTGTTTACAGCAATGTTGTTTACGCCTACTTGATGCCATGCCATGCAAGCGAAATTCACTTCAATAAACATTCTTTAACGTAAGCGATATGAGCTAGAATCGCTTAGCTGTTGCAGTACCCTACTTTGTTAATTCTTATTCTGCACGTCAACAATAACGCGTTGCAGTTTGTTTGAGAGAATTATCTATATTAAATCGACGACGTGAAGTAAAAAAAGTTAACGCTGCATTTAGTGGGGTTAATTACATATCGGAATAGTAATAACGGATGGACTATATTTGATTTTCTTGGCGGCTTAACAGCTCGTCGATGCGCGGTAACGGATAACGACCCGTGATTGTAACTGCGTTAATTTTCTGGTAATCGACATACGCGATAGGAACCGCTTTTTTTAGGAACGAAAATCACGGGTGGGCGGTGGTTGGCTAGAATGTGTCTGCTGCGTGCATGCGTTCTTTCAAAATTTTCTTTTTTCCAGGACTCTGTCTGTAGCAGAGCTGTGTACTGCTCGCGAGTGTTTCGCTCGAAAAAGCGCTGCAAGCGGAAAAGGCGCTTTTCGGAGCGGCCGCTTGGTGCTCGATATTCGAGCGTTAGCTTAAAGTGCTCGGCGCTCGAGCGCTTTTTTCTGCCCACGAGCTGTTTTTCCGCTCATGAGTTTTTTTCGCTCCCAAGCTCTTTTTCCGCTCCTGAGCGTTTTTTTGCTCGTGAGCGCTTTTGCCCGCCCTCAAGCGCCGAAAGATTAAGAGTGCCGCTCGCGAGCATTTTTTCCGCTCCCGAGCGCTTTTTCCGTTCTTGAGCGTTTTTTTCCGCTCACGAGCCCTTTTCCCGAGCGCTCGCGATAAACCGCTCGAGCACTTTTCAAGCAGAACGGCTCGATGCTCACGAGCATTTTTGAGACAATTAGTGGTTTTTTAGAACCAGCTCTGGTCTGTAGGGGTGGTACAGCAATCAGCGTTTCCTCGCTTAGTTTAATAACATGCTCAGCATATGGGGTGACTTCGTTCCGTAGTGAATTGATGTGACCACGCTCTGTAGTGTTCCGAGTGACAGGTCAGATTTTTATACTGCGTCCAGAGGCAGAGATAGAATTTGAAACTTTCTCCGCCAAGAACCTGTACCATCTTCCTGGGTTATCCGAAAAGCAGAGTTTTGTGAAAGGTCCAATATTATATCCGCATTTCGAATGAAATCTGCACCCAATAACGTGCGACCGTTCGTGAAGTCAAAGGTTGTCAGAAGGAACGTAGATATCTTCCGTGACAATCGTTACGCGGTTTGATTGTCAATTGTTTATTTTTATTTTTTAATTTTTTTTGCCTTTATTTTTGAGTGGGCGGGGTTTCAACCAAGGCTGCTCTACCAACCCAACCCACTATATATTTACAAATATCCATGCCCGAACCTGGATTCGAACCAGGGACTCTAGATCGTTCTTGTTCCACACCTGTAGGAAACAAAGAAGAAAAATTCACCATATGAAAAGTCATGGACGATACAGATGACGCTTGGCCGCTAGTACTGCAAGTGGGGCATTTCCTTCGAATATGCCCGGGATTACCACACTCAAAGCAGTTCAGTTTGTGAGCATTCGTCGAGAATCTTTTGGTACTACTTGGCCATGAGTTTCCGCGCATTTTGGTCGAATCTCGACTGCTTTGTCGGTAGGCATCGCTTTCCGAGTGAAGGAAGGTTCAGGTTTGATAAACGTTCCCTACTGCGGAGATTAAGAGGGCTAGGTATATCATGTTCTGCTTGTGTGTCTCCTGCAACTTTGGATCTTGTAGTAGACTAGACGCCATTGCAGCCGTTCTTTTTTTCCCGAAAATCGTGAGCAATTGCCGCTACTTGTTGAGTCACCGCAGAAGTTGCGTTGTTGTTGCTTTATCTAGAAGAAAAGCGACTATGATATTTCGAAGCATGTTCAGCACACGCGGTTCATGATACAGCGGGATTCCCAAAAATTGAATATAATTCGAAACACGAAATTTCGCTTTAAAACTTATCTCACTGTCCACACAGAACACGATAAGCGGCGATAAAGCGCATTTTTTAAAGTATTTCGCGTTGCGATTGCTGTTGAAATACGCCCTCTTGCAAGAATCCAAGTTAATGAAGTAACAATTCAAGGTTCTCACGACTGTAAATGGCGAAGATAAGATCGTCCGCGGTCTGTACGCGTGCGGCGAAAGTGGTTCTACAAGTGTGCATGGGGCGAACCGGCTTGGTGCGAACTCTCTCTTAGATTTAGTGGTCTTCGGACGTGCGTGTGCGAAAACGATTGCGGCAGAACACAAACCGGGCGAATCGATTGGAAAACTGAGCGCGGTAAGTATCCCACGCTATCAACACAATCCCTGGATTAACATCTGAGTAGAACGCAGGCGAGGCCTCCATTTCCAATCTCGACTGGATTCGCTACTCTGACGGACCGATTTCGACCGCCGACTTACGCCTACGTATGCAAAAAACCATGCAGAAACACGCGGCCGTGTTTAGAACCGCCGAGTCATTGCAGGAAGGTATACGGTTAATGGAGGCGCTGTATGCCGACTTGAAGGACATTAAGGTTTCCGATCGAGGGCTCGTCTGGAATTCGGATTTGGTCGAGTCGCTCGAATTGCAAAATCTGATGATCAACGCAATGCAGACAATAGTGGGGGCGGAAAATCGAAAGGAATCGCGCGGCGCGCACGCGCGTGAGGATTTCAAAACGAGAAGCGACGAGTATGACTATAGCAAACCCATCGAAGGCCAGCAAAAGCGGCCAGAGAGCGAACATTATCGTAAACACACGTTAACTACTATTGACGATAAAGGTAAAGTTTCGATTAGATATCGACCTGTCATCGATCACACGCTTAGTAAAGATGTTGCAACAGTGCCTCCTGCAATTAGATCGTATTAAAAAATTTTTTAGTGTGAACAGGTGGTGGTTTGTTTTAAGAATTTTAAAAAATACACAGATCCTTTACCTTGATCCTCTCGCTTTTATTTTGGGAAAATTTTTTGAAGAAATCTTAATTTATAATAATACGAATTTGACTGCATAGTGCCCTTTTTGAGAGACTCATCTAGTCATTCACAATGGCAAAAATTATTGAGATTTTTCGGGCACCTGGTAGTGTCTATGAGTTACCGGTAAGGCAATAAAGCGTTTTTACTTAAAAAAAAAGGTGCTTAATTATGTGATGTCTTACATCATTTTTTAAAAACCACCTGAATTATTTATTTATTTATTATAGAAGATTGCGTATTAGCTGTGTATTTTTAATAATTTTAACGTCGAAAATAGTAATACTACTTTGTAATTGCGTATTCTTAAGAGTTAAAATCAGTTTGTTTATGTTTATGTACATAAATTTATCAATCATTTTATTATTGTTATGTTTAATGTTCGTACATGCCAATGATTGCTTTAAGTGAACAATACACGATTTTTTCAATTCGCGAGTCTTAATACCTAACGGTCCTCGCGTTTTGGTCCAGTCTCCTTGGAAGGTGCAGTTAAAAAGCGCCATACAAGATGGCCGATGGTTACTCTTTGCAAAATGGCGTCAGCTTTTGGCCTTGTGTCAACTCGTTCGAACATTTTGCCGGCTACTCCAAATTAGGGTTTCCTGCAGTCTTATGCGGGTCACTCAGTAATTGGGCGTAAGCCTGTTGAGGGCCTAGAACAAGAGGGACAATAAATAAAATAAATAAATTACAAGGAAATTAATTATTTCATTTATTCGTTGGTTCATTGGTTGGTATAAACATTGACTGTATACACTAAAAGTAAGAAAAATGTATACTGCAGTACGTGTATATATTCAGGATGTGGTAAATGAAGAGGGTCATTGTAAGTAAAATAAGAGCGGGTTAAATGCCACTGTCGTAACCGAATGTTGAATGACAAAAAGCTTGCGATAGCGCATTTAAACCATTCCACGTCGTAAGATGAAGCGCTGATTGGGTCAGATTTTACAAGAGCGATACCTATAACTATGAGTGTAAATAGCGGGAAAGCAGCATTTCGTTAAACGATTGTACGCGATGTCGTTTTCGCTAGTCGAGCCGTGCAATCTTAAGTCAATCGGTCCTTTGGGCGGACCCCGAAGAAATAAATTAAGCCAAGAGCGAAAAATGATCTTCATAGAGCCACCGCCACATTGCGGACGCATATTTTCGCAGCATTTTCGAGAAAGATAGTAAAATAGTTGAAATTTCCACAACGGCGCGCGCCATGATTCTATAACCGGTCCGTGCAGACTGCAGAGCACAACTGGGAAGCCAATGAAAATTCCATAAATGAGAACTGTATATCCGGTCCATGCCGGAGCGCAGCTGGGAGGTCAATAATTTCCATTCTGATTGAAAGCCGTGACCCGAGCGCACCTAGAACTCCTGGTGCACAAACACTAGAGGTATTTGTGAACGTTTTAGTTTAATCGCGTCGTAATTATTGCCATCTTTCGTAATTATTGTCATTTTCGTAGTTTTCACTTCGTTTTACTGTATAAACAGCGTTATTTTGTATTTCTGCACCAAACAGTTTAAAAACATGTTCTAGCGATATATAAGACAGTGTACTGTGATGTACCCAAGCCGACAGCGCCCGCGCGAACAAAAACGGATAAAACACGCACTCGAAACACCAGCCTAGTAATTATCAACCTCAGACTCGACAATGGCTGGATTGCTTACATTGTGAAAGACCAGATTACACTGACTCTTATTAAAGGAAAGGTGGAACGCAAATAACACGTTTAGTAGTGGTACAGACGGACAAAGTGCGGAGCGTTTGGAAAATGCGCTAAAATGGATCGCCGAAATGTATGTACGCGCATAACTTCAGAATGACTGCACCAAATTAGATAATTCTTTTTTGTTGTCTTTGTTATTATCAGGACAAGGTTGCTCTTTCCGTCATCTTAAATCGCAATATGACTAATCGATGGCGCCAAAGTGCGATTTACTTACGGACCTCTTAAAAAAATAAGAGGTCAGTGGATTTACTACGGCTCTAGAACTTCGGGCGCAAGACGGTCACACGTTTACGTATGCCCGCGAAGGTTTTTGATGTAGTAAAACACTCAGAAATTCTAACGGGACCGGGAACAGTAAAAAAAACAGAATTTGATATTTTACACTATGTCCAGCTTGAAAACGAGGCGTGTGATGCAGTGCGTGCGATGAGGTGCACGTCTGCGAGTACTACCTAAATCTATTTATATTAGTCCGTTCTAAGTAGATACATTGCGTATGCGTTGCGGGTGATTTTGAGTACCTACTCGCAAGTCGCAACGCACGCTTTGTTTAAAAAAACATGTTTGTATTTGCACGTAAAACACGTACCTACCATATGATTATATGGAGGTGTTGATTTTAGAAATTCAAAAATGTATGGAATAAAAAAAATCCATTGTACAAAGACCGGCAAATGTAGTGTTTGATTCTTAAGAAACAGGACGACATGTACATTAACTAACTATTGAGGGTTGCGAAAGTTCATGAAACTAAGCATTCATATTTTATTATTATAGGGTACCTCACGTGGCGATCTTTAACCTCTTATAAAAAATCAACAAAACATAAAGATATCAAGTAAAAAAATTATCACAAAAAGCTTCGACCTTGTGTGCTCACTTATGGTGAAAGGAAAACAAATTTAAAAGATCTTAACCTATTGCTTTTTCTAGATTAGTATGACATTGTTTGTACAAATAACAGTGGATTTCACTTGGTTTTTTTGTATATGGCCCGAATCGCTGGCATTTTATGACCACCAGCCCAGGACCGTTTGGAAAAAGTTTATGGGAATCTGTATTTTCAGAAATGATATCGACTTTTCATGGAGTTGTGACTCAACTCTGTGCTGAATATGTCTAGTATTTGAATGCTGACTGGAACAATTCGAGAACCAGAAAACCAAATGAAAATTATTCTTCTGTTTCACACTTTTTCACCTATACAGACTGTTTTAAATTAAGCTAGCACTATTGCTAACTTGCTTATAGTTGTAGAGTTAGAAGGATGGTTAAATTATCAAAAGTGTGTACTGAATTACTAAAGGAACAAAACAACATCGCATTTTTCAGATAATAATAAAAATGTAACTTTTTTTTATATGGAACAGCCTGTATATTACTATACATCAAATGACAGCTTATTAAATTCTCTACAACCGTTCTTAATGCACCATACCCAAAATACCTACTACAAATAACTAAGATCTTTCGACTATTTTCATTTCGATCTAAGCGGTTATAAAAAAAATGATTAAAATATATAATAGTGTGTTCTACATAAAAGGTCATATTTATGGTATTATCTGAAAAATGCGATGTTCATTTGTTTTTTAAATTACAGATTTGGATTAAGTAGAAAAAAATACACAATTCTGGTAATTTAGGAACCGCAATATTGCCGCGACTTAATTTGAAACAGACTGTATAGTAGGTATACAGAGTGATTATATTATATTCAAAGGTAGTGTAAAATTGAAAGAAAGAATTTTATTTGATTTTAGGATAAAGATACCTATACCTACCCTTTTTCTTCGTGGTTCATTACCACCTACAAAAATTACGGATTTTTAAGATTGTCCACAAATGGCTCCTTAAAAAGCCGATGAAGAAACTATGAAGAAATTATTACCTCCCAATTCAACCCAACGGTATAATGACTATGACTACAAGAATCATAATTATATTCCAATGTAGGTAATAATTAGTAAATTTTCTTTGGGATGTTTAATTATACTTACCGTCATTTACTTCGGGAGGATAAGTAATACTTTAATCCCACAAATAGGAGATAAAGCATGTTGCTTTCAAGAGCAGGTATTGCCATAGAGTATTACTCTATGGTATTGCGAAATAATGTCATCAACCGTCCTATGGTAATCTGTGCTGTATAGTGTAGTATTAGTGGGAAAAAGTGTTTTATTTCATACTATCTAGTAATCGCCGCTTTCCCAGACCCATTTGAGTCTGGTAAATCGTATTTTACCAGACTGAAAACTTTTACCAGACTGGAAATGTTGCCTAGCAACATCAACTGACATCCATATAAACCTAATATATTAATGTGTCAAACTACTGTCAGATCAAACAAATCAAGTGATCGCCTTTTGCTTTCATTTGAATGCGTACAACATTCTAATCAAAAATTGTATGGCATTTTAATAGAAAAAAGAGCAGTATGAAATAAAATGTTTTACATTATTTGTATGTTAAATCAGTTAACGTTACTCGTTTCGAAATTCCCTGCCTCAGCTACGCTTCGGCAGTAAACATCTCACTCGTTAACGTAAACCTTGATTTACCATACTCATATGTAAATAACTATTCCCGAGAAATTTTGGAGCAGTCGATTCTTGGTAAAAAAAGGAAGGTACCTAACGCGTTTACGATTCGGTTTTTGTGGGGCCATCAATAATTTATTTTTTTTAAATATAGGCTAGCGTTTATTATTTTATATTTGGAAAGAGCTCCCCATTCTTAATTATATACAGAGTGGCTAATAAAGATGGAACCAAAACGCTGGTGTGAAAACGGTTGGAGATATCGGTTTGAAAGTTTTAGAACTTAAATAAGATGTGTTTGTGCATATTCTAGCATGAAAAGAAAATTTTTGTCCCATGTGGTTTTTTGACATGGCTGCCATCTTGTTTTTTTTAATGGCAACATAGGTCTTGCAACACATCGTTGGAGCGCTTATTTTACCTCCATTACGATTATGCAATAGGAAAAACACTTTACCTTTTATATAATTCGGCTATTTCTTGGAGGGATCCACGGTTTTTCTAGCCGACAGCGTATTTGGTTCTCTACATCAAAAAATTAAAACTGTCTTAATTAATTGTGCAGCCTGCGGGCGTTCTAAAAATCTGTAATTGATCCTAACATTTACATCAATTAAGAGCGCTTCTTTTGAGACCCTATAACGGTTGGTAGAGTTGGCGCTGCGTTTCCTCAAACCCGCCGCATAAATGGCCAACTAGCTCAAGGTTAAACAAGAAAATACAAGCTTGAGATCTGTCACAGCGGTCGGTAGTTCGTTCTGCGTATTTGAAGTTTGTCCTTCAGTAAAAATCAATTTAGGCACCAAAAGAAATACTGGTTTATTCAAATAAATGGCAAAAATAAAAATTCTCTCCACAATGGTATAGTGTAACACACAAATATTCAAAATTATAACTTACGTTACACAATAGTATATTTTAGGCTATCATCACAAAAACGTTGATTTTGTGGTCGCTTTTGCGGCCATAAAGTTTCACTTTATTGTACGCTTCTGTCAAACTTTACTTTATTGTACACATCTGTCAAACTGTACCTAGGTACTTATTTGAAACTGATGTGTGAGAAACAGTAATCTGTTTGATACAAAGCGTCTATCTGGTCTAGCCCCATTAAGGATTGGGTCATCTACGTGCGTTTTTTTCATTTTCGGACTTGTAGGAATGTTTCACATTATTTTGCATAATCACAATGTTCACATTTAAAATTATAGTTTGACGTTTCAATCTTTGCTGCTTGCAGACCTTTTTGAAGTGTAGAACCAAAACATGAGGAAGATGTTATTGCTTACATTATTATACGAAGAATCACCAGCAATTAACCGAGAACACAAGTACCTACGTATACCTACCATCAAAGTAGGTAATCAGGTTTCCAATAATTGTACAGCATGTTAACTATAAGGTCTTGGAAGCCACAGTTACGAAGGACCTATTGCATTTGACATTATTAAAATCTTGTGCAACGGAGGAAGTTGCGATTGTACTTTTACTCTCAAACGCCTGCTCTTATATCATACGTATATGACTTAGGGTCGCAACGCTTGCAGCTTCCAAAATTTCATTTGGGGTATCTGAACTGTCGCTATCACCCATTTTGATACGCACAAAACACACGCAAAGATGCTAATTATAATTACATACGACAGGAAATGCTTTGTTTTTAATTGTCTAAGATAACTATGATTTTCAGAAAAAATATGTTTATGAGCAAATTTTTGAATTCTTTTTTGATGATCGCCTAAAAAATGTTGTGTGCACCTTGGCCAAAAGTGATTTGTTAGGCCTCATCTGAATTGCGGCCCCGGCTACCGCCTCGGCCGCAAACAGAAGCTTCTGCCAAAAAAGATCACTTTTACGGCCTTGGTACACAAAAATCTTAGTCACTTCAATATGTACCTACCTACAATTGAAATTCCCCAGTTTGACAAAACCCCCAATCAAGACTGATCGACTAACAAACTGAATCGTAACAGCTTTCCACAAATAAACTGATATTTCAGGCAACAATTCGCACGTATAGGGCCAAGTACAAGTAAAACTTACTTAAGGAAACTCTTACCTTGCATAAAGTTAACGTTGCTGCTAAGAAGTGAGCACAGTTCTCTCATCCACAACTTGCAAATAATCAAAAGAAAACCTGCCAAGCCGCAGAGCTCGGTATTAATTGACTAATGATGCCTGAAGGGCCTCGCTCTACTCATAATATTCTTCGCTATAACACGTACGTACTTAAACGGCCAACCTCTCCAGAAGGAAGTGGTGAACTCCAACAACATTCACGTTTCAAACCCGATCATAACTTAACCGAGAGTTGAATTAAATTTGAATTTGAAGATTAAAACATAAAATTGAAACCCTAAAAGAAATCAAAGGTAACCCCTCTCTTTGATGCCCTAAGCCTAAAATGTAAATAGCTCTTAAATAAGAGGGTTAATTATAGATGAATTGTCGATGGAAAATTGTCGTATAACAGATGACAGCCGAGCGATAAGTCAGAAAAAACGCAATTATATCCTCCCTATTGGAGTTTTTAGGTGAATCTGTCCTAATTATTCCAGAATCACCAATCAATGAATCCGATTGCCAGAGATTAATAAAATATGGATGATGATAATTTAAATTTCACTAACGCCTCAGCTGCTTGTTCAAACGAAATGCACTTTGTTACGGCTCACAAAAGAAAGAGGAAAATGAAAGTGGACAATCGATAATCGCTGCGCGGTAAAAATTGCGTGGTTAAAATTCCCATCTATTCAAAAGTTACGAAGAGCTTTCAACAAGTAAATAATATTGACTGCTTCGTAATGGAGAAAATAAACCGTTACAACCCCTCACGACTTAATCGGATGCTGCCTACTGCATCTCATTTAATCAGCTACCGCTAATTACACTTATTTAATTTGTCGGATAATATTTTTAAATTCATAAGTCTAATTAAGCGCCATTGTCTATTGGAATTTCTCGGTTCAGGCAAACTGATATTAACGTAAACCGGCATGGCATTTCAGTTTTAATGCTCACTTTAAATTATCAACGCAAGTTAAAACCTTCTAATAATGACTTACCGGAGCTGAAATTCTAAAATATTAATTCGTCCTCACTTCTAAAGGACCAGAGATCAATTACTTTTATTTTGAACTCTGAGAACCAACAAAAATACGGTCGGCACGACACGTTTCGTAACGAAGTACGTACACATACCAGGTGTTCCCGTACCGGGTGGTCATGAAAGTATTTAAACTTCAAGAGGGAAGATAGGTGCTTCGTTAGGGCTGAATATGTCGGAAGTGACAATGCTTTTGAAAAATAACATAAGGCAACTAGGATCGGGAAGAAGTAGATTTTACTCGTAAATGAGCGCAATAGTATTAGTGGTGCTGAAGAAAGAGCTCATTAACAGCAAACGTTCAGGTTGGTTGGTAATGACTGCTCGAGGGACAGAAATTTCTTCTTAGAATAATTAGTTGACGTCTAAGAGAGAAGGGGTTGCCATCTTACAGCACACTGCCCAATATTTACCTCAATCTGCAAAACCAGGTAATTGCTGTCAGACGAATCTCATTTTTGTTCTCCCGATTGACCTGAACGCGTATGAAGAAGGTTCGGTGAAGGTTTTGCATTTCAGCTTTCGGTGCGAGGGCAGTGTTATGGTCTGGGCAGGCATTCTTACCGAACTTCTTGTAGAAAGGGGCCCGATAACAGCTAATCTATACATAACAGAATGTGACCATTTCGTCCTTGTGCTCCAATTCTTGGAGGAGATTTCCTATTCATGCACGATAATGCACGCCCCAGTCCCTGGACCATGTTAAAATTTCAGGTTTAGTGGGGCCCAAACTTAATATTCAATTGAGAATGTATTGGATTCGCTAGGGAGGAATATCAATGTCAGAAGAGCACGTCGATAAACCACCGACAGTTTATAACATATATCTCTTTGACAGCATGCCTCGACGTTTGGAAGTTGTTATCAGAAGACGTGGAGGCAAGGTTTTTTTGTGCAGTTTTTAGATGTTTACTTCACAACCTTCCATTCTGTAAATAAAATTGTTATCTCGTTGCTGCCCATCATTATAGTAATATTCTGGTTTCCTGCATTTGCTCAAAAATGAAATTTAAAAACGCGTCTCCGGTTTTTTTGTCAGGAGTACTATGAACCTTTGAATAGACTACCAAACCTATGAACTTTCGTTTTCAATGTCATTATAGGAAATGTTTCCACATTAAACGAATAGATTTGATAATTTTAGATTTAGAATTAAACACAGATTTTTTTATATGTTTACTCATTACCTACGGAACAAACAAAAATGTTGCCATGTAGGTACGTGTCTATCGTACTGTTTGACCCAGACAAATGCATTATCTTTATCTATAGATAATACCAAAGAAAAATAAGATAAATTTGAATCTTAATTCAGGTTCCTGTATCGACCTCACCGAATATTGAAAGTGGTTCAAGTGAACGTGCTACTGGGGGGTTATAGCCGCGATAACATTCACCCTTTGACCTAAAGACTGGCAAACAAACCTCTTTATATATATAAAGCACATACAACAAATGATCGGAGTTCAACCGCGAACCTTTGTGCTGTGCTTGTCGAAGTTTTCTTTGCGCTTTTTTATGATTTACGTCTGCGTACGCAACCTTCTTAAACTGTCGTGCCTAAATATATTGTTCCGAACGCGCCCCAAAATGTCCGCCATTCCGCAAGCAGCCTTCATGACGAAGAAATGGAATGAAAATCAAAAAAGGAAACCCAAGGAGGAGATTCACTTCTGGGATGGTGAGTTTGCCAAAGTAAATGGTACATGCCAATTATACATTCATCTCCCGTGCAGGAAATGTGGAACCTCAACTGCTGCATTACAACAGTAAAATGATGAACAGCATCTGGGGATTGTATAACCGCTACTCTGTGCATAACTTGAAGGGCAGCTGGGATAAAGAATTGAGCTTTGGTGCCATTAATCAGCAGCTGTAGGTGAATGAAATTATATTGATTTCCGGAAGGGTTAACTTTTTTCAATTTGCAGCAAGTCTGTTGGTTGCGCCTCGAATGGTACCAATGTAGCTCTCACTCCTTGAAATCTTCGGGGTACAAATGAGTATTCGTACATTTGTGTAGTACAACTTTAGTAGTGTAGCTTATTATAGAGATGATATTTTATACCTATTTATTTTTATACGATGAAGAAATAAACTGATATATGTGAAATGCAACACATGTAAAGAGATTGCAATTATCACAACTAATGACCTTTGATATTACATTATTAAAATTAATGAGAAGTCACAGTTGATAACTCTTATTAATCTATAAATAAGGTCAAACGTAAAATGACGATTTGAGGCGATGTCACACTTCTTGTCGCGCCTCATCGTCCTCTCTGATAGTGGGCTTCAGTCGCCAGGGGAATTTTATTGTATAAAATTGAGTCTATTACAATTTATTTTTTTTACATTTTTTTCTATCTATTTCTATTTGTTTACGTTTTGAATCAAATACGCGCGATCGTGATTTCCGTAAGTAAACACATTGGATTGACTACAATATTGCTTCATAATTTAACCGGTAGTTTCTACACCTCTCGTTATTTAACACACAGGTTACAACTGATAAAAAGCTGTGCGTTTGATGAAAATTCGCTCACCTAAACCGGACTTAAATGCTCAAATGTCAAAAAGAGCTATCAGGTATCTGTGTCATGACCCATTAGAATTATGGATAGCTCTGAAGTCATCGGTCGTAAACTTACTTTGTATATTTTATGTACAGGGTTTTGCAAGAGTCAGGCCCGTAGCCGGAATGAAGTAGCAGGGGTGGCCGGTATTTTTCTAGGTGGGGCTTAAGAAATTTTTGATAAAGGTTTCCCCTGTAATTTTTGTAAAGGAACCATCAACCGTAATTTCCAGTGGGGGCAAGACCACATTCTAGGTGGGGATCAGCCCCACCTGGCCACCCACTAGCTACGGACGTGGCAAGAGTGTCTATTAAAAAAATGTTGACCATCTTCGATTGCTCAAAACGCTTTAGCTTGACGAGACGTCTATGAGCTGTTCTTCCAGTGCCACCACGTATTCAGGTTTTTTGTGGAATGGATTATAAACCAAATTTCAGGTGGAAAGTGTTGCCTAGGTCGGCCTAATTTTAATTTCGCGGATCGACCTTTGACTATTGGACAAAAGAGCGGGCTAACAATTGTTGGATTTAATGATGCTGAGTATGAAAGTTTGCGGATATGTCAGCGAGCGTTTTGCTTTTGGTATATGTACAAACTATACAAATAGTTCAATCTGTCCTAAATAACTTTGGAGCTATGGTGACAGCCGTACGGTTAGGCAATACACATAACATTTGAAAGAATAGCATCCTGGGAAAAAATATGAAACACTGTGTATACGGCAATCCTGAAAGGTTTTTGCTGATCTTGAAAAGTGTAATTACAGGTACCTAGTAGTCATTCTATTAAGCGACAGAGCAATGCGGTGTAACCTTTTACGGGAGTCGTCAGTCGATGGTGTTTGTCTCAATATGCGAACACGATAATTGGCAAAAGCCTGAACCAATTCGGTTCAAACAAATAACTCCGTAAGATCACATTGCGTTGCCGCTTTTCTAGATTCGCTTTACACGTTGTTCTTTTTTGTACTAAACATCAATCAATCTATCTTTCAATTTTGTCACCATTTGTTATGATTTGGTACTTGATATTTGGCGTGTGTGGTACTGACTTTATATTGTTTTATGAAGTATTTATTTATATATTCACGCGGAAGTATATATATTTGTACATATGAAGCCCTGTATGTTTTCATTAACTGTTTAGAAAGTATCTCGTACAGTTTCAATTCTTCGTTATATCCGTTGCTTTGTCATATCTCATGCGGACTGCAGTTCTTGTTTATTTATTTATATTTATTATGTATTATCCCTCTCTTGTTCTGGGCCCTCAACAGGCTGGCGCTCAATTACAGAGTAACCCGCATTATGCTTTTTAGAGGTGCCTCTGTAGAAGGTTCGGTATTTACCTTACGAATTAGGAAAACTGCAGGAAAACCTGATTCGGAGTAGCCGGCAGAATGCTCGAAACTGGTCTAAGGTAATTCCCATCTCTGCCATAGATGAAAAATTCACCTCAACCCAGGTTCGAACACCCAACCTCCGGATTTATAGCCCAACGCTTTACCATTGAACCACAAAGTCGGTGTCGCAATACGAGAAAGGGGGCCCTCTAATTTACTTTTCCTCTGTTTTGTATGTGAGATTGCTTGTGTGATAGGGTTTAGCTTGAATACGTACCTACTGCTTATACATTCTCACCTGCACTTTTCCTGTTAGATTAATGCGGTAGCCGATGCTGGTTTAGAGCATGGATTTATAATTGTACTAGTTGTTTTATGTTTTTTCTTATAATTTTGTTTATAATTTATCTTTCTTTTAATGTATAATGATTCAGGGGAAGTTACGTGTGTGTTTTTTTGTTTTGTTTTTTGAAAATTCACTTTTCTTTTTTCTCTCAATTTTCTTCTTTTGTTATTAATGCACAATGCTTTATATGTTCAATATATACTTAAGTTGACCTGTAAATGGATGCGTTCTGTTGGTCAATAAACTATTATTATTATTAACTATTATTATTATTAATTTGATTTATCTTGTTTTCCATTTGTCCAGCACAACGCCAAGGTATTTCACTTCGGTCGTCGCCGGCGTAGAGTACCAGGGTGGTTTCCTTGGCGTACTCGGGCAGTCGCTGTGCTCTTACGTGACCTGCAGCCCCCCGTAGCGGACCGTCCTTATTCGAATACTTCGCAAGGTATTTGAATACTTTGAAAAGTATTCGAATACTTCGCATAGTATTTGAATACTTAACCTTCCTTTTCTTTACCAAAAATCGACTACTCCAAAATTTCTCTGGAAAACACTTTTTCTTATTAATTTTGGTGCGTAGAATCCAGATGATTCGTACTTTTTCGATTAGACTTCTCAATCAAAAGTTATGGACTAGAAACCAATTTCGAAAGAAAATTTAAAAGGGCTGTAACTTTCGATCTAGTAGCCCAATCTTGGAACTGTTTGAAATTATGGATTCTACAGCCCACATTCTATAAGAACATTTTTTCCGGGTCGATCTGGGACAATTTTTTTTTCAGGCCTCAAAAAAAGGCAGTGTATAACCTTCCTTTTTTACCAAAAATTGACTACACCAAAATTTCTCGAGAAAACACTTTTTATTATTAACTTTGGTGCGTAGAATCCAAAACAATTCGTACGTTTTCGATTAGACCTCTCAATAAAAAGTTATGGACAAAAAACAAATTTCGAAAAAAAATTCAAAGGGCTGTAACTTTTGATCTAGTAGCCCAATCTTCAAACTGTTTGAAATTATGGATTCTACGGGCCAAATTCTATAAGAAAATGTTTTTTCCCGGTCGATCTCAGACAATTTTTTTTCCGGCCTCAAAAAAAGGCAGTACTTTTAAGTTATTCAAATATTTGAGAACAATTTAGAAATATTTAGGGAAAGTTTCCATTGTCACAAAATCAAATATAAAAATCCGATACATCTGAATACCGAACTCGATAGTCTACTTAACTTAAAAACAATAGGGACCTATTTCTTATATCCTTAAGGCCCATATGTACCAATTTTCAAAGCGATCGCACGTTTCTAAACAAGTTATCATGCACACGGACAAACGAATGGTCAAAAATGGATCTGTTCCAAAATCGCTAGGATTAATTTCAGAAAGGCGTACGTATCATGTGCACGACGACTGGTACGCGTATTATATTCTTAAGGATATAACTGGTATAAGAAAGGTCCTGGTATAGGTACCTCCTATATAATAATATAATAATAATAATAATAATAATACGTTTTTACTCCCCTTAAATTTGTATATAACAATAGAAATATAAAAAAGGTAACCCCATACAAAGTATAACTTGATTTTTTAAGTACCTAGTATTAAGCCTTTTATCTAGTATACTATTTTAAATTTTTAATGTATTTGAGTGACAAGTATTTGAATACTTTTTACTGTATTCGAATACTTTTCAAAGTAAGATAATGAAATACTTTTAAAAATATTCGAATAATTTTTATAGTATTCGAATACCTTTGATAGTATTAGAATACTTTTGAAAGTATTCGAATACATTCTAAAGTATTTGAATACTTATTTTTTTAAGTATTTGAATACTTTCAATGTATCTGTATCTAGTATTCGCTTGTGCTGGACGTAAAAGTATTTAGTATTCAAATACTTTTTGAAAGTATTCTGCCCAGCTCTGTTGACAAATTCAGACAAGTGGACGAAAATTCCGTGAGAAGCATATTATTTTATTTGTTTGAAAAATAGTTCATTGAGACTTTTCTCCTTTTAGGTAATCGGCCGGGTACCTACCAGAGCCATTGAAAAATTCAAATAAGTGGACGGAAATTCTCGGTGAGATACTTGTAATTTTTACTTGAAAAATAGTCAATTGAGTGTAAAATAACGACTTTTCTCCTTTCAGGAAACGATGTGGGACCGGAACCATTGAAAAATTGAGACAAATGGACGGAAATTCGGCGAGAAGTTTGCAATTTTTTGTTTGAAAAATAGTCATTTGAGTGTAAAATATCAACCCTTTCTCCTTTTAAGTAAAAGTCGGGAGCCAGAACCATTGTGAAATTCAGACAAGTGGACGAAAATTCCGCGAGAAGCATATTATTTTATTTGTTTGAAAAATAGTTCATTGAGTGTGAAATAACGACGTTTCTCTTTTTAGGTAATCGGCCGGGTACCAGAACCATCGAAAAATTCATAGAAGTGGACGGGAATTCGGTGAGAAGCTTGTAATTTTTTGCTTGAAGAATAGTCAATTGAGTGTAAAATAACAATATTTTCTCCTTTTAGGTAAATGGTCTGTTGTCACAACCATTGAGAAGTTTAACCATCAAGTGGACGAAAATTTGGTGCGAACGTTATTAATGTATTTGCTTGAAAAATAGTTCATTGACTGTAAAATAACGATTTTTCTCCTTTTTAGGTAAATGGTCTGGTACCAGAACCGTTAAAAAATTCAGACAAGTGAACGGAAAATCGGTGATAAGCTTGTAATTTTTTGCTTAAAAAATAGTCCATTATTTAAGTGTAAAATAACGACTTTACTCCTTTTAAGTAAACGGTCGGGTACCAGAACCATTGAAAAATTCAGACAAGTGGACGGAAATTCGGTGAGAAGCATATTATTTCACTTGTTTGAAAAATAGTTCATTTTGAGTGTAAAATAACGACTTTTCTCCTTTTAGATAAACGATCTGGGACCAGAACCATTGAAAAATTCAGACACAAGTGGACGGAAATTCGGTGAGAAGCTTGTAATTTTTTGCTTGAAAAATAGTCCATTGAGTGTAAAATAGCAACCCTTTCTCCTTTTAAGTAAGTAAAAGTCGGGTGCCAGAACCATCAAGTGGACGGAAATTCGATGAGAAGCATATTATTTTACTTGTTTGAAAAATAGTTCATTTTGAGTGTAAAATAACAACCCTTTCTCCTTTTAAGTAAGTAAATAAGTAAGTCGGCCGGGTACCAGAACCATTGAAAAATTCAAACAAGTGGACGGAAATTCTCGGTGAGAAGCTTGTAATTTTTGCTTGAAAAATAGTCAATTGAATGTAAAATAACGACTTTTTCTCCTTTTAGGTAAAGGAGGACGGAAATTCGGCGAGAAGTTTGTAATTTTTTGTTTGAAAAATAGTGATTTGAGTGTAAAATATTAACCCTTTCCCCTTTTAAGTAATAGTCGGACGCCAGAACCATTGAGAAATTCAGACAAGTGGACGAAAATTCCGCGAGAAGCATATTATTTTATTTGTTTGAAAAATAGTCCATTGAGTGTAAAATAACAACCCTTTCTCCTTTTAAGTAAGTAAATAAGTAAGTCGGCCGGGTACCAGAACCATTGAAAAATTAAAACAAGTGGACGGAAATTCGGTGAGAAGCTTGTAATTTTTGCTTGAAAAATAGTCAATTGAATGTAAAATAACGACTTTTTCTCCTTTTAGGTAAAGGAGGACGAAAATTCGTTGAGAAAAGCTTGTAACTTTTTTACTTGAAAAGTTGGCAATGAGTGTAAAATAATGACACTTTCTTCTTTTAGGTAAATGGCCTGTGTCGCAACCATTGAGAAATTTAAGCAAGTGGACTGATTTTCGATGTGAACGTTGTCATTTTATTTGTTTAAAAATAGTCATTTGGGTATAAACTTACCTACGACTTTTTCTTTTATCAGGTAATGATCTGATGTCAGAACCATTGGAGAAATTCAAGGAAATGGAAGGAAATTCGGCGAATACTTTGTTATATTGTTTGTCTGAAAAATAGTCATTTAGAATCTAAAATAACAACCCTTTTTTTTAGATAAGTGGTCTTAGGTCAGTACCTACCTATGACGAAATTCAGGAAAATTGACATTCTGACTACCCTATTAATATTTACATTGCAAAGATTTGATTTTAAATAAAAATATCATTACTAATGTTTTATTTGGTGTAATCGTGTGTCATTAGTTTATATGTATGTACCACCTTGGGTGAAATTGATTAACAGATTCTCTCAAAAGTGATTCAGGATGATTTAAAAATTGCACTTGTCAGTAATTCATTTATATAGGTACAAAAAGTAAAGTGAATAACATGAAAGACTACTAACCCATATCAATTCTTCCTACATTTGTTAAAGTAGGTAATTATTTAAAAAACTGATAAAAGTGTGAATCGCTCGGTACTTTGAATTGAATAACTTACTGTATTCCAACTAGTTTTCAGACTAGGGAGAAGTAGTATTATATCAAGTGCTATAAGCATATCGTAAAAATGAGATGTGCTTATGTGCAAACTGCGCAATGTCATCTTTCCTATTTTATGGAGACATTTTAACCAGATTCTTCTAGTGAAGGCAAACATATCGCATATTTTAAACATCAGACGTGCACAATTGTTATTATTTTAGCAGCTATCTGTACTCTACCCCCTTCATCATCTTATGAAAAACTGTGCGGAGTCCGTACTTGCAGCACCATTTCCAATAATCTTACTACTACATTTTGATGATCAGTGCCAGCTGTTTTCTTTCTCTCGGTTTTCCAGGAATCGGAAACTAAAATTTTACCTATTTGAGATACTTTTATACAGTTATTATACACGAAAAATTTAAATTCGTTTTACCGCAATTATTTTATTTACAAAATTTACGGAATTGAATTGGATTACGTCCGTTTTGTATCAATGAGCGCTTAATTGTCTATTGTGTAGTTTTGTACATCCCTGTGATAACACCATCACCCTTAAGAATCGTAACATTTTAAAAATCGTTATTTTAGGATAATTTTCTTTACGTTTTCATCCTTATGCAATTACGCTCCAATTTAATCTCGTGTTCTTCCCATATTCAAAATAAATATTATTTTATTATTTCAAAAAAACCGTTGCTCGTAGAAATTCCTATTACAAATTTTGGTACGTTTTTTTCGAAATAATGAAATTTAAAGTTACAATTCAATTCATCAGTTACAACTTGGAATTAAGTAAACTCTCCGCACGTCCTCCCTTTCAGTTCAGTTCAAGAGAGTTTCCACATGTTGTTACAGGCTCAAAGTGGATCACGTCTTCGTAAAACTAGCTTTACTAATATAATTTTTGGGGTTTGCTTTATTTGTAAATCTATACATATTCTCCCCTTCGACCTCTTTTCGCACGGAGCTCATTAATTTAGCCAAAGGCGTTGTGGAAATTGAGTAAAACATTAGTTAATAGCGAAAAAGTACCTACCTATATAATTAACTATCGCCTTTGTAATGAATAAACAATGCTATCGCTCAACGAAATCAGTCTTTTTTTACAACCTTTAACACTAGCTGAAGTTATACCCATGTATCTTATTGGACCTAATCCTTTTTAACCTTTTGAAACACTTGCTGCCTTTGGTTGGGGGATTATTTTAAAATACACTTACCACAAAAGAGTTGAGGTTGTCTGCAGAAGTATTAATTAAGTGCAGTGGTGAGCCAATTGATGGACGTTGCGTTAACGATTTTGCTTCGTGCATCTGATTGCGCCTAGACAATCTATCAACTTCTGGTGTTCGATATATGATAGCTTCCGTCCTATAGCAGTGAAACAATCTTTTCAAGTATTTTTATCAGGACGATTCGGTTCCGCCAACAACACCCACTTAGTGCAGTTTGATTAATTTTTCGGCACTCTGATATTCTTCGTCACTAGTGATAGGTATTGGGGCATTAGGTCTTCTTGTGAGTTTCTTTTTCTATGGCAGCCATGGTTTTAATTGATTAACTAATTTAATCGATCAAATTAAATTTTTTTGTACAACTATAGGTATAGGTATATTTTTATATTGCATAAATTGCCGGGTGAAGTAAAAAAATACATTTATAGTTAACTACCTATAATAAAATAATAAAGATACCTAAACTTAAACTTAAATACTAACAAGATCTTGCAAACATCTGGCAGTAATCGTTTATCAAGCTTACAATTAAACAACCAGTAAACAAAACTTAAAATTTTTGAGATTCAAACAAAAGCTTAATATTTGTTGTAGGTAGAGGTACAATTTTTTCAAGGCATAGTTTCCTCGTGCTTTCCTCCCGCCAGTCTCTGAAGCTGAAAAATCAAGGTATTAAAAAAAAGTTATTAAATTGAACAAGTGAATGAAAAAAAAACCTTTTAGACAGACCGTTTAGCTCCACCAAAATTGGCGTCGCTCTCAATCGTCCTTATATTTGATTGCTTGCACAAAATTGATTATAAGATTAATTTTCTCGCGATAAACTTCATATGCTTACCTCTTTCTCGTCGGTAACGACAGCAGTGTAACGTTCGATTATCTTCAATGGGCCAGTGGAAGGCGCGGCGAAAACGTACTTGTACAGCAAACCGGCAATAATTCCTCCAATAATGGGACCCACCCAATAAACCCAATGATCATCCCAGTGGTTGTTAATGACTGACGCACCAAAGGTACGGGCAGGATTCATACTGGCACCGGTGTAGTCTACGGTTGCAAGGTGTCCAATAGTTACAGAGACTCCAATTGCGAATGCGGCAATCGGTTTTATTTCATGCTTATTTACGTCGACTACCCCAAAGACGGTAAATACCAGAATGAATCCGAGCATAATTTCCACGACGATGCCGTTGCCTACTGGTACGGAAAGGTTGGTAACGCCCATTGCGGTATCGTGGTACCGTTCGGGCAAGGATGCCTAAGGCATACAGTGTTAGGCGATCTTCTAAATTAGTCGACACTTACCATTAAAAGACCTGAACCAACAATAGCACCTAGGCATTGTACAATGATGTAGAGTATCGCTTTTAGCAGGGAAATATTTCGAGTGACCAGCATTGCTATGGTTACCGCAGGGTTAATGTGTCCTCCGCTTACATGACCAATTGCCTGAAAAAGAAAATGACAGGTATTTTAGGTTGAAAGTTTGTAGAAGGATTTGGTTTGCATATAAGTGCAGATGAGATTCAAATCCTTATTGTGAACAAGGTCAATTCCACATAGCATGAGTGAACACCAAAGTCAATATTTTTCTTATATCTTGAATTAAGTTAATTTAACTCCCTGCAATTTTGTGATAGTATTGGTTCGAACAAAACTCAATTGAGTGTAAAATTGACACTTTTTTTATTAGGTTGGATGTCAGATCAATGGGGAAATTCTGGCATGTAGCCAAAAATTGACATTTTTTGTGTCTTACGTAAGTGATATCTATCAGCTCTAAAACTTAAGGTCTTGTTTATACTCTTTAATACTTTTTTTAGTCGATAGCACATGACAATTGTTAAAAATTAACTTTAGCAGTGAAGTATATACTATGATTTGTTTATATATGTTGTAATACAAATGGGGCAATTCTGAAGTACCTATACCTAACTGTTGGCTATCGACTAAAGTAGTATGTACAGTAATTGACAAAAGTAATTATCACCTAATAGGTAAACTCTGCAGTATAAGCAAAGCAACCAACACGCTTATCACAGCGGGTTCCGTAGGTTTCTTCAAGGAGGGGACGTACATCTTAATTTGTCGGTTCGCATTTCCAAGTTGCACAAAATATTCAAACGTTGGTTGCGTATGCTGCAGGGTTTACGTATTCGGCGATCATTAATTTTGTCAACGACTGTACGACACGTAGGCAAAGTATATTCCTGAAGTCAGGCAATCACTATCACTCTTCAGGAATGTTCAACTTTTCCTACTTGCCATACAATCTACTATTTCCCGAAATGCAATGAATTTTACCGTATACTTTTGCCAAAGCGGATTACAATTATAACTGTTGAAGAGTTTGACGTTCGAGTCCGTTCACTTGCATGGTTTATTGAAAAGTTGCAACGCAAAAATAGTAAAAGTTTGAAAATATTTAGACCTTGAATTGTAGCCATACACTTTTATTTGCATAAGTACTTTTATTTCAACCTTTATTTAATCGACCTTCTGGTATTGCAATTCCCAATTTAGTTTATCGCTGTGTGGTTAAAATTAGGTATAATTATACGTTCCGTATCGTCGATGGAAAGGAAGGAAACCGCGAAAATTTAAGAAAACAATGAGCAAAAACAATGGCACGGTATTTTAAAGAGGGCAGTGTCGGTACTTTGTTTGTTTCTCTATACTGAAGAGAAACAAGCACCGATTTCTATACATAAAATAATGATATGTATTACACATGAGAATATTAATATATGATACCTACATCTATACGTATTCACGAATAAACAGAAGCTAAGTACATAATTGAATCAGTGAATAGGTAAAGTTGTGTACTTGTTTCTACATAATTAATTTCACGTCACTGAATTATATCTCAAGACCATTTTTTGTGACTTCATTATGGAAGACCTAGCTACTGAATTGCAAATGCACAAGGCGGAAATAAATTGTTTATTATAATTTATTACATAATTTTTTTGTTTAGGTAGTGGGCGATCTTTAGAAACCAAATCGTTTTTTCTCAAATTGTTTTGCTAATGTAAAATGTCGGCGTTGCATAACCATTAGCAGAATTTTTTTTACGCACAGGCATCGCTTGGAAGTTGGAACTTGCTTGGATGAACTGTAATTTTGTATGTCTGGAGAGTATGAAGTTATTTATTTCAAGGGAAAGTTTTTAATTGCGGTAGGGTCAGTGGCGGAGTGGCTACCGCTGGTGCCCGGGGCGGCCCACCAAAATTGCGCCCTGATACAGGGTGTTCAAAATTGCGTGTTTTCGATTTTTTGGGGATATTTTGAAAGCTAAAAAAGATAGAGTGATGCGGTTTGCACTTCTCTAGTTACTGGTCAAAGCTGCATAGATCGATGATGTCAATTTTGGCGGATGAACTTGCGCGAACGTGGCAACTGTGCAAGTACAAAAATGCAATAAAAGTTTTTGCATTATAACTCAGTTATTTGTGTGAATATCAAGAAAGTATAAAGAGTAAACGTTATGCAAAAATAGTCTCGTCTAGTAAGGGGGTAGTTTTCTGTCTCCATAACCTGCTAGTTTTAAGACACAGCACCAAAGTTTGTTGTTTTTAAATAGATGTATGCTTTTTTTTGCGTTAATAAATTCCTTATTTGTTTCTAATTAGAAAAATCTATACACGTTATGTCCATTTTTTTAGTGCCACTATGGGGATCTCGCTTATCTTAAGAGAAAAAAGTTGGTTAAATGGGGCAAAGTTGTGAATTTTCGGGTTGAATAATAATCTGAAAATAAAATTAATGTCTTAGTTTCATGTTAAATTCTTAGTATTACATTGTTAAATTCTAATGTACTAAGACATTTCTAATAAACACATTATTTAGACACTTTTTTATGGCGAATTCGAATATGGCATTCCGTTTTTGTTAACTTTCAAGATGACTGAGAAATACGTAGCAATTTTATTTTTACTTATGGACGCCATTTTGAATTTTGACATTTTGAGATCACGTCTTTTTTTCTCTTTACAACCTACACATTGTGGTTCAGTATCACATTTATCCTAAAAATTAACAATATTTCATTTTTTCGAAGAGTGGAAAAACAAAACGTTTCTTGTGGCAGTTTGATCCACCTGTCTGGTTACGGCGTTGGCATGGAACTAGTTGTGGTGAGAAATGTCGATTTTCATCTGAACAGTATTGAATCTTCGTTTTGCAAGGAGATTATAATTCAAATTAGAGCAAAATACATGAGAATAAAAAATATTTAACATCAGGACATATGATGTCATTAAGGAAATTTGGTTTTTCTTGAATCTGATTATTTACAAACGTATATACAAAAAGCTACCCATCGTTCATGATCTCCTAACGGAAGCGTTTGGAAAGTATGAATTTCCCACGGATATTTGTTTTTTTTAAGAGTTCTCCATACAACTTGATGGGATGGCAAATTCAGCTGGGCTACAACTTCTCTTGAGGAGGCAGATGGATTGTCTTGCACCTAATTAACACTAATTAAATAAAGATTGTTTTAGTATTTGTAATCATGTAAAATTTTTACCGCTTGCAAAATTTCCTGCCGATATTCATTGGGCCTATCCTCATACTGTCGTCTACATCCTTTAAAAGAACCATATTCGCCCCAGTTTTTATGCAGCAAAAAAAATACCTCAAACTAGGTTGTTGCCCCTCTGGATAACGCTGCAAGTATGTTGCAGCAAAGCAGTCATGTGGGCATGTTCTGCACTTGAAAAAGGCATTTTCGTAATAAAACTAGCACAAACGTAAATGACACTACTTGAAATAGGTCAATCTTTTGTTCACAACAAAAGAACGTTTTGTTTTTCCAAAGCACTCTTCCCAAAAAATGAAAAATTGTATTTTTAGAAAAATTGTGACACTGAACCGCAACTTTAAAGAACGAAAAGACGTCAAATGGCGTTCATAAAAAAATAAAGTTCCCACGTTTCTCCGGCCTCTTGAAAGTTATTAAAAACGGGACATATTCGAATTCTCCATAAAAAAAGTTCCTAAATAATGTGTTGATTAGAAATGTCTAGTACGATTAGTTTATCATGGAAAAATTAAAAAAGAAAATCAAAAATTTTTTCAAAATATCCCCCCAAAAACATCAGAAACAAGCAATACCCTGTATACGTGCCTTTATTTCACTAAATTTGTCTACTATATCAACATTCCTAGGTTCATGTGATCTAATCTTCTTCCTCTAATAGATTTCGATGTAACTTCCCTGTTAAGTGAAGAAGCTATCACTTTTTGCTTTAGGTATCTAATTCGTTCTTAAATTTCTTTCTGTCGTATTTATATAACATACATCAACTGATGATAGCGTTTAACGGATTCAAGTCTGATTGTTTCCCTACATTCTCTCGGTTACCTATTCCAGGGATTTAATCTGGAGCCACTCTTATTTTTTCTATCTATTAATAACATTTTGGACTCAAACCCTACAACTCATCTCCTTTTTGCAGATGATTTGAAAATATACACACAAATGTCTGTATCACAGATTGTATTTCCGTGGAATAGCAAATCTATTCCATTTACAATTGGCGTGATCTCGATTACCTCAATTTAAATATACAGTGCGAGGCTCTAATTTGGAATAAACTGAGTAAATCAAAGAAATTTGTTTAGGAAATATGCTTGGACGCATCGATTAGTACTTTAAATTGCAGTCTTTTTGGGGTAAAAAAATGTTACACATCGTGTGCCAAATTCGATTATTAATATTTGATGCTACAAAGTTACCTACATATTTTAAATAACTAATTATCTTTTACACGCCTTTTAATATTAATCCAATTGCACCAATTTTATGTATATGTACAATGTACATGCCCCAGAATTTTACTTACAATAAAGGCCAACAAAGTAATTAATTCGTGTAATTATTTTTTAACTGTTGACCGTGTTTTGCAGGTTTGAGAATAATCTGCAATGTTAATTTTTAAATGAATAATCTTAATCTCTATAAGATAAATTTTGTAATTTGATTTGAATTGTTATTGGGGAACTTAATGAACATAGTACGCCGACAAACCTTTTAACAAATGTATGTAACCTTTTACTAAACCTCAAATAAACATAGGAACCAATTTAACATTATAATTTGCAAAATAGGTTTACAATATATGTGTGGGCAGTTTGACCGATTTTGAAAAAAAAACTTATGGAGCAAAGACCCCATAAATATTTTTATTCTTCTAGAAGAAGTTAATTGGACAAATTTAAAAGATTTACAATGTGAATTAATTGGCAATGCTGAATTGACTTTAAATAGTTTAAATAGCAGAGAACTCAACAACACATTTTTTTGTACTCCGCGGACAAAATCAACGTGTGTTGTCTTTCATTTAGAAAACTAGGTAAAGTGTCACTTTTGTCCTGGAGGCAGTAATTTCGTCATAGCTTTATTGGGAAGGCCTTGTTTGCAAAGAATTGCATACGATTTTCAGTTGGGGAATTTTTTTGTCATTCAGCTCGAATTGGAAAACACGATCCGGCTCATATTCAATGATCCTTTAACTTGCGGAATGTAGTAAAGCTTCATCAAGATCCTAATCGATGTATAGAGGAAGAATGACTGACTCGGACGTAAAATTTCAAGATCCGAGAAAAGAAGCACAGTGTAGTCACATCTGTGATGCCAAGGCCTCCATATACAAGTTGGTTCACACAAACCGTTACTTAAAAGTATTCAGATTTTCCTTAATAATTTAAATCTGGAACTTTGCATACCGACATTTACTTCTTCATGATCTATCGAACAAAATAAATTATCTTAATCGTTTCCCTTCCGGTAATGTGGATGGCAACTTTCTTATTTTAAATGAAGCACCCTGTATTTTATTGCAATTTCGAAATTTAAATGAAAACTTACGTAATTTGATACGGCATTTTCCCCCCAGCATCAAAGGTTTTGAAGTTATTCAAGATTTTTTTTAGCGTAACACAACGAAGTTGAGGTAAAGCTTATGTGCTCGTGTTTCCGTCCGTCCGTCCGTCCGTTCCATCGAGATCTCGGCCCCTGGGCCACCTAGAGACTTCGCGTTTTCGCTAATTGATAGCTGTTATGGTCTATATTTGCCCATTTCGATCAGTTTCATTTAACTCCATATTTTGCGCAGACTGCGCAATGCCAACTTTCATATTTATAGGGATATTTCTCTGAAATTTTAACCACAGACCCTTCTAGTAAAGATAAACATTTCGCGCATAGTAAAAATTATGTGGGCATGCGCAGTGACTGCGCAATGCCAACTTTCTTATTTATGGAAATATTGCTTTGAAATTTTAACCTCAGACGCTTCTAGTAAAGGCAAACATTTCGCGCATAGTAAAAATAATGTGTGGGCATGCGCAGTGATGTGTGGGCATACTGCGCAATGCCAAATTTCTTATTTATGGAGATATTTCTTTGAAATTTTAACCACAGACGCTTCTAGTAAAGGTAAACATTTCGCATATGGTAAAAATTATGTGTGGGCATGCGCAGTGACTGCGCAATGCCAACTTTCTCATTTATAGAGATATTTCTTTGAAATTTGAACCACAGATGCTTCTAGTAAAGGCAAACATTTCGCACATAGTAAAAATTATGTGGAGGCATGCGCAGTGACTGCGCAATGGCAACTTTCGCATTTATGTAGATATTTCTTTGCAATTTTAATCACAGATTCTCCTAGTAAAGGCAAACATTTCACACACAGTAAAAATTATGTGTTGGCATTGCGCAGTGCATGCGCCGTAACTGCACAATTGCCAACTTTCTTATGTATGGGGATATTTCTTTGGAATTTGAACCACAGCTGCTTCTAGTAAAGGCAAACATTTCGCACATGGTAAAAATTATGTGTGGGCATGCGCAGTGACTGCGCAATGCCAACTTTCTTATTTATGGAGATATTTCTTTGAAACTTTATTTTACTTATTTAACTCCTCTCTTTCTCTGGACGTGGACGTGCTTCAATATGCAGATTCGACATTTTGTGTGCTTTCGATGGCAACGCATCGTTTCAATACTTTGTGTTACGCGGCAATACCCACGAGTGGGTTTTGGAACATTTTTTTAAATTTTTGACGTTTGATTGCGTTGAGTCCTGTACCTAACCCTTAACTTGATTTTCAAAAAGTCTTTTAAAATCCACAGTACTGACTTGATGCTACATGCGAATGGTTTAAATTTGGACTGTTCTTCAACAGAGTGATTGAAAACTAATTGCCAATTTTAATAACTACAAACCTTAAAAATTGATTTTTGAAATGAACCATGCTTTATTTGTTTGCACTTTCAAATGTCGAAAAAATTCTACATCTATCAATTATTACATTACCTATACCCAACTGTTATGCTTTTCGATTTATTTTAGATTTTCTAAAATTATGGCGGTTATGCGTAATTTTCTTAGGAGACCTTAAAATAAATGCGTTTTAGCAGACCTGTCAGACATATCTTTTTATAGCTATAATTATAACTGTTATCATTCATTGTTGTTCTTGGTAGTTTATCTTTATATCACTAAATATGGAAATAATCCTATTTACTGTAAAGAATACAGGGTTAATTAAATAAAGATGAAATAATAAACAGAAACAGGCCATAATCATAACAAACGACAAAATAAAAAACAAACATCTTCCACATGGCCACCGTTTTTTTCAATACATAATAGAATCCTCCAATGAACGCCGTGGTAGTCGCCTTTCCAATTTCTAATGCACCCATTTCATTAAAAGCTGTGCTCACCCTCCAATTCCAGTCACAAGAAGCAATTGGTGTGAAATAAACTTTGGTTTTTTATACACATAAAAGTTCAGTGGCGTTATATCTGTAGATCTAAGAAGCCAACGCCACGGACCATTGGGCCCAATCCACTTCTCTTCACAAATGTTCGTCAAAGACATTTATAAGCATCATGGCCGCTCCGTCAAGTACAATGACATCTACTAACGCATTTATTTCAATTATTCAAATTATGCATCACAGTCACAATTACAGAATACCTAAAAAGACGGTTTCAGCCAAAGCTGCTCCACCAACCCAACCCACTATAGGTACATTTACAAATATCTATGCCCGAACTCGGATTCAAACCAGGCACCCTTAGTACCGCAGTCGAGCATGAAAAGCACGGGAATGTAATAATTGACCGATGTAGAATTCTTTTCGACATTTGAAAGTTAAAAAAATAAAGCATGTTTCATTTGAAAAAATCAACTTTTTACGGTTTGAAGTTGTTAAAATTGATTAATTTAAAAACACCCTGTGTATAACCGATCAAAAGTTAAATCATTCTCATATAGCATCAAGTCGGTATTTTGATTTTGGAGGACTTTTTGAAATTCAGGTCAACGGAGTCATAGGTACAGGGCTCAAAAGAAAAGCATTCAAACGTCAAAAATATTGAAAAATCTTAAATAACTTGAAAACCTTTGATGCTGGGTATAGGGAAATGTAGTGTCAAATGACGTATATTTTCATATAGATTTCGAAAATGCAATAAAATGTAGGGTATTCTATTTAAAATAAAAAGTTGCGGTCCACATCCTGGAAAACCGGAACTGAAACAATCATGAAAACATTTTCCTTCGATAGAGCATGAAAAACTATGTTGGTATGCAAATTTTTAGATTTAATGTATCAATTAGAGCTTGAAAACTGTCAAGCAACAGTTTGTGTGAAACAGTCTGTACTCTGTACTATAACTGATGGGAGAGTTGCTTGTAACCACGATTTTTCGTTAAATGATAAATTACAAATATTAATAAACGAATCTTGAACGGTGGCATCATAAAGCTGCAGGTCAGGTTTCCAACGTCAACAAGATTTACATCTTAAAAGTTGAGTCACCTTCAAATAATTTGGTCTGTGCTTTTTTGTAAAGCAAGTAATCTATATAGATCTTGCCGCTTTGGAGCATAATTTCTTGGTTCTTCTAGGGACATTTGTCAGAATATGATGCTCTGGAATACTAGGTGTTTCTTTTTTGTTTCCATGAATTTAGATTTTTTTACTAAAGAAGTTAGGTTTCTCTTGACTTCTGGATTGTTATACTTCTCAATAAAATTGGGTATCCGTAACAAATAGAATATTGAATAGGGCTTTTCGGTGTCGATTGTCAGCATTGAAATGGTCAGAATAGTGATAAACAATGTATCACTTTTTTAAAATAAGAAATCCTTGCTGAGTATAAATAAAAGAAAGGTTAAACGGTACGAAATCGTTGAAAAGTTTATTGTTTTTAGAAACAATAGAAAAGATAGTGATAATAAGATTTATGAACCTCAAGAAAACCTTGTGGATGAAACATGTCGTTAAAATAGCTATTGAAGGAAGAATTTTACGGAAATATCACGGAGGTACGTCGATAGATCCGGAAAATCAATTTCTATCAAAGAAAATGTAGTTAAAATCGGAGCATCAGTTTTAAATGAAGCTGATATTGTTCAATATGTTGAGTTACTTGTACATTATCGGCTATTCTATTAACCAATTTCTCAGTTGTAAAATACCTTCAGACTTACTGCGTGGCATAAACCGAGTTTTAAATTAACAACCATGAAACATAAAAGATATTTTAGGGAATGCAAATAGCCGGCTTGCTATAAAATCAGTCAAATTCGAAAAAAGTTTTATATGCAGTATGTGATTCATGTTATAGAATTTGCCATTGAAGTGACGCAAAATCATTTTATTTGCATTCTAAAGCATATACGATCGTTTTGAAACGTGTCGAAGTTCTATAACGAGATAGTAATAATTATTCGCGAAAAACTGAAAATTATTGCATGCTCTTCACCAAATCATGTGCAATGACTATAATGAAACTAATAACATATTCGGTAGTGTCCATTAAAGGAGACACACAGACTAATTTGCATTGTAGTTTCTATGCACCAGTTCGCATTTTATTCCCCCATGCATAAATATTTTAAAATTTGTCATTACCCTAGTTCCTGTCTTTTATTGTTACGGTAAAATAAGGGCAGAAAGAGAGGAAATGACTCGGTTTTACCTACCTGTACGGCGATAAACACAGAGAAACCAAACGTGAGTGCAATCAGGACCAAGTTAGGATTTTCAACATTAGGCTTGATAATCATGCAGGAGGCGCATCCGAAATAGTTTAGGATGATGTTTCCAACGAATTCTGCCAATAGGGCCTTCCATATGCTGTCCCGTTTCGTCTTGAATTCACTGACACCAAGTACCTCACTGAAACCTGCCATTTCTTATGTGACCTAAAAGGAATACAAAGTGTTATTACCGTACATACATTATACAATGTTAACGTGGTGTTTAGGTTAGATAAAGTAGTGTTTAATGACCGGATATTTTTTTACTTTCAGGAAAAATACGGGAATTACGGTGTATTAAGTTTTTAACAAGGAAATGCTATACCCCCTCATGCTTTGTTTTAAATCAGATTAAATGTAATTCGTTTATAATTTATCGCGTTTGCTTTCTGATTTTTTGTGATCCCCCTACTAATTTTTTGCGTATGTTTCGCCTACCTATAAAGTTGAATAACCTACTCGTGCTATGCTGGGTATACCAAAATTATATGCAACGGACATGTCCACGATTTATAATACCTATTTAATACAGCCGTGATGTGTATGCAAAATGAGTAATAATCATATGCATTGATCTTAAACCGTTATTACTACTTGTTAACAAAGTTTTAATAAATTGTGGGGGGTACAGCGTCGTCATTGCAAACTTTTTATAATTTGAGAAATACTAGATCGAGGCTTTTAGTGAATGTTTTGCGAAATAGGTTCGGATGGTATTGGTGAGATTCACCGTAGATAGTCATGATACGGCCTAGATAATAAATCTAAACGAATTGTTCATTAGTGGCAATGAAAGAGGAAGCTGTGGTCTCTTTATCCATTTCCTTTTTCTGCCACGTAACCTTGACATCTTACCAATAACATAAATACTACTAAATTATAGTGTTTTAGAAAAACTTGTTTCTCTATACGTTAAGTATTTCTGCTTCTTTTAAAATTCCTATCTGTGAATTCGCTCGTGCTTTTGAAATTTGCATAGCGGTTTGATAGCCAGCTAATTACGGATTGCCAAAATTGGAAAGGTCGTACCGAGTAGCAAAATCGAAAATACGACCAAAGGAAACGCATTACCAATATTTCGTGTTTGGCTTAATTTACAACGAATCATTTTTGTTAAATTGTACCTCTTGAGGTCCGCTTATAAAAAGAGGTCTGCTTTTTATAAAGGCGAAGGTTATTAAAATCAACTTAATTGTGAGGCGTCTGCCGTTCATCAAGTCTTGACTTTTAATCCGTACAATTTTACTTATTCTAGCTGGTAATTAGACACGCATCACGTTTTCGGTACCCACCTAAAAGTTAAGATGATTTATTGGGCTACTGCGTGGTCAAGTATTGTACTTTAGAATTTAGATGACATTTTCCCAAAGAAATTTGAAATTGTTGGCAATCTATTTTTGTTATTTTGCATACCAAAATAAAAAATAACCGTTAGCAACCATTGGTTAACAATATATTCCTTTGGCCTTTTTTGTTTTTTGTTTTATAACGAAGGGCTGTCTAGAACGCTAGGCAAAGCTCTAACTCTCCCCAATAAAATTTATATTTCTCATAACGCGGAATAGTTTTTTTGATTGGACGAAACCATCCAAGACTTTATTAAAGACATTTTCGGAATTCTTGATGGGCTGTCTGGAAATCTACTCAAAACTGAAAAATTTTACCAAGAAATGATTCCAAATATTCCTTTGGCAATTTGAATATAACCAAAATCCTCATTAATTTTTGTATTATAAGGATTATCAGAGAATTTTAGAACTATCGGGGGGCTATCTGGAACTAGAACTAAAACTAGAAAATGTTTTTATGTTTTTTTAGTGCGAAAGGTAACAATCCTCCATAGTTTTCTTATTAGAAGTCGCCTTATTAGAGAAACTTTCAGGAGTCAGGACTATAATAACAATTTTACAAAAAATGACTATTATCATGATTTAGCCCATAACTTCATTACGGAAAGTTTTAGAAAATCTTACCACGGTCTAGAAATGGCATTCCAAAAAGTCTTTTAGCGTGTCTTTAATTGTGCACCTTCGCGTGTTAAAGGGAGGTATTGCATTGGTCGCATTGGGGTAAAAAATAACCCTCCACTTTTTTGACGGAAATACACGTTTTGAAGCACCAGGAACGCGAATCAAACAAAATCTCATTTCTAGATTCGGTATAAGATGCCACCCTTATACCAAGTGGCAACGACTATTTGTAGGGCGGATGAGCGGGTAGGGGGTTAGGACACCCTCTTGCCTTTGGGGGGTGGGGGGGGGCATATGATACGGAAAAGATTGGCAATCCCAGCGGAGACTACCATATTAAAGGTCATTATGGACATCCTCAGAAACACTGAAGAAGAACTTATTTAGGACTTTAGGACAGTTCCTGAGAAGAAATATTCTGGAGAGATTGGAACAGTGTAGGGGGTAAGGGAAGACAAGGAATTAGGAAAAGCAGTAGAGACTTTGGATTGGGGAACAGAAATGAAAGAGGCGAAAGGCTTGTTGGATTTTGTGAAGCCCAAGACCTTTGGATAGCTAATACCGGATCCTGTCTCCTGGACTCTCGGAGACTCTACACATGGAAGAGTCCAGGAGACAGGACCAGGAATAAAAGTTGTTAACGAAAGGTTTAAGAATAGTGTCATGCAGATATCTCGGGACAGATACTGACACAGAGCACAACCTACTTCATACTTGCAATAGATTTCAGAACTAAGCTTAAACATTTAGAAAAGAAAAGGAGCATTTAGATGTGGGACTTAGGAATGTTCAAGATAAATGCGTCGCAAAGACTTCCTTTGAGTATTATATGAAGAGCTTGGAAAGGCACCCACTACGTTCAGACGTGAAGTAATAATGGTGCAATATCAAAGCAGTAGTAACAAATGGTTTGAAAGAAGAGGTGGAAAAGAAAGAATGGATTGCAGAAGAAATTCCGGACAAGATTGATGAAGGAATGCAAGAAATAGAAAATTATTAATACTGAGGAAGAATTAGTAACCAAATAAGGAGCAAATGTGGCAAAGCTAAACAATAATGGGCGGAAGGCAAGTGCTTAGAAATATAGGAAATGGATAAACAAGGGTGTATGGAGGAAATGTACAAAACGACAAAGACACTGACAAGTTTGAGACCAGTAATGGCCGCCTGGCACACTTTCAAGGTATAGAGGCTACATATTGCAAAAAATTCAAGGACTCTAGACCATTCGCCTAAAAGTAGTTCAAAACCACAAAAGTAGGTCACAATAGCACATTATTTGAATTCTTAAAAGCCTATGGATCAACTTTTTTTCTAGCAATAGGTTTTCAAATCCAGATATATGACAATATACAGGTGGTTCCATTAAAAAACTATAACTTTAATATGAATCACTCTTTATATGAGTTCCGATCTGTGTGCAAGCAGCGAGCTTTAAAAATGCACCTTAATAAATCCGTACACACACCACACACAGGACGCAAAGACAAAATCGGCGGAGCAATCTAAATGTCCAAAATGGCGCATAGCACAAAAGCTTTTTGAGCGGGTTGATATTAGCCAATTAACGAACAGCTAGAAGCACTCTGATATCGCATTAGGGAAGAAAATGAGCGAGAACGAAATCAATTCGCCCCCAAAATCGACAGTGTTTCAATACTCATGACTCTCAGCCAGTTGCACAAAAAAATTCAGGATCATTGTTTACTCCGGTATTAAGACATTTGATTGGCTTTATACTGCAGTATGCAGCCAATCAAATGTCAAAAATTCTTGTTTAAAGTCAGATTTGGCAAATAATGTAGGATTTTGATTATAATTCGCTTTCCTGCAAACGGCCGTAAACGATTTAGCTTGTAGAAGGTTTTCAAGGAGACAAATTTGATTAAACCATATTGGTACTGAATGTACCTATAAGGTGATTTATAAAAACTAATGCGGGCAACAACAAAAATCCTACAAAAAAATGTTTGTACCTAATGGAGGTATCTATGTTAATGGAATGTGAGCTATTTAAATTAATATCCAAAAATGTATTCAAAACCATTAATTTATCCAAAGAACGTTTTTTGCTGCTCAATTCGTGTCATCAAGGTAAAGTACTGTTTTGTACAACGTTATTCATTTCTTAAATAGTTAATTAAAAAAGTGCATCTAAATTTTAGGTATGGTTGAGGTCTATGTGTATGGGAAGGGGGTGGCGCTAACAAGGGTTTGATTTTTATGCAGAACTGTGCCCACTTGAAGACTAGTAAAGTAAAGGGTGCCTCGGTTGAACTGGAATTCACATGTAAAACGGTTGTGTACTACTGTTCTTCTTCCGGGACGATAGATTGGAAGCCCTTTCTCTAGGTCTAGAGAAATAAATGCGATGTGTCTATGAATTTACAGTTTTACATGTCCTTTGAAATTAAGACTGGCCATTAACACCAATGACTTCATTAATTAATTAAAGTTAAACGATAAAATTAAAAATTGCACGTTATTATGTACTAAATAAAAAATTTGATAATCTAATGCCGGTAGTTTATTGGACAAATGAAAGCGTTTTCTGTACTGAAAGCTGTAGACAAATCAAGACGATTGTAGATAAATTCGTTCATTAATATAAATGAACATCCCCTAACTTCATTAAAGTTATATTACGACTGCATGATTAGAGAGTGAATGAAGGGAAAAAATGTTTTCTGGGGAAATTACTAAGGAATTTTAAGAACTTGTTAATGATCACATTTAGCTAACGATAAAATTTGAGTTTTCTCATGCACACGTATTACCATCTGCCCATGGTCATAGACTTTAATTAAAATCCCTCATTTCGTATGATTAGCGTAATGATATTATGACAGCATCACTTGCTTTTGCTTTCAATGTGTGTTTCTTAGTAATAAAAGCTATTCGTATTACTTGTCATCCCTCATCCCAGCAGATTGTCCAAAGCTTATTCATTCTGAAACCTCGTGTGTGTTCTGGTAAATATTACGTAAGACAAAGGCGCCAGCGCGTAAAAATGATATAATTTTGCGTAAACAAATTTAAAAAAGGTTTTAAACATGTAATTTAGTTTAATGTTCGATAAATTCAATAACATTGATTACAAGGAAACACGGGTAGGTAATTGAAATGCATTCTCGAATCGCGAAGCGATGTTATTTATCCTTTACCTAGTTGTAAACGATTGCCTCATTACGTCTTTTTACAGCTGTAACACCTATTTGGATTAATAATTACGTTGGCACAAATGAAATGCAGAACAGTACGTTATGAACGAATATCTATTTACAGCACTTATTAGATATATTTAAATTTTAAGCAGAGTTGTAAACCCATTAGCATTGCAAATATTTGACAATATCGATTAAAATAAATTGAACTTTGGCATTTATTGATCGAGGGGAAGTCGCAATTATTCCAACTAAGATTGCAAATTATTTATGTAAATAGGGAAAATTCCATCATCTAAATTATATTAGAATGAAATCATACTAATTACAGAATAGAGGTAGAGATTTCAAGGCTAACCTTGAATCTATCCACTACCTGCCGAACAAAAAATTGAAATTTGCACATAATTCTTATCTAGAGCATCATTAATACCTCTGTTTCACAGCAATAGGGTGTGTGAAATGAAACACACCCTCAAAGCTAATTCCATTAGCTGAAAAGGTGTCGGAGGTTAAATTTACAATACCATTAATATGGAAAGTGATTTCCTTCAATAATTACTAACTAATGATCGAAATTATGATTCACATTTACAGATTTGCACTCCCAGCCTACCTGCATATTAATTACGAAATTATTCACATAATTCCTGTAAATTTTATTATTAGTAATTCTGAAACTAATAACTTTCGTGGGAAAAAATAATGATAGTATAACTTTATACGAATGACTCGGGGAGGAAAGGATAATAACTACTTGCACCAATTTCAAATTGGTCTGAGATCAACACCGCATTCTTTTAGAGTAATTATCCACATGAATTCTTATTTCTGGTCTCACAAAAAGGGAAACGAATTGTAAATGGGGATCTTGTAAATAAAATAGTATGAACGCAAACTTACCTCGGAAAATGTTACACTAGTAGTAGAAGAAAAGCCGGCGAGCTTTCGTCACTATGGTTGCGCCACAAACTGGAGCTTTGTTTGTTGTAGTTTGAGGAAGGTACTTTCGACTTCACTCAACCTCAACAAGTGGGGGACTGAATCTAACAATAAACATCGCGTAATCGTTACAATCTTAATTTAATATAATAACACAAACAGTTACAACAGGTAACTGACGTCACGTTTATTGAATAGAGGCAGGTGATGAGGGTCTACCGTGACCGGGAATGCCTCCCCCTTCCTTTAATTACGCGACTTAGTCATTAACATTTATGATACTAAATATCACATTACCTGCTGAATATCAAGCTTAACCCCATGCACAAATTGATATTAAAATTAATGGTCTAAAATCGTTTCTTAAGCAGATGAAATTGTCTTCCTACGGTAGTGTTAAAAAACTAGTCCTCCTACACGATGACATAATCACGTGGACCAAATTATATTTTTATCAATGACCATTTTCATTAAATTTATTTAATTGTGTACAAACAAATTTATTAATCTTTTTTTTCGGCGGCAGATCAATTATAGCCCAAGTAAATTGTGTAATTCCTTCCCAATTTGCTCTTCAGTAGGGGAGGAGTACGTGAAATTTGTTATAATTTGTTTTATCTGTTACGGTAATAAAATTAAATGTGCTTACTTGATGCAGATCGTAAAGATGTGCCTACTACCTACTTAAGTCGTTTACAAGATAGTAGTATCTTAATTGCAATGTACACATTACAAAAGAACCTTGATGAGTAGTTTGTACCTACAGACTTACTGAAAGTATTTTTAATTGTCGAACTGTGTCATTTCTAATTTCCTCATTTGTGACGAATGAGATTTTTTGTACAACCATAATTTGCTAGAGGCACACGACACATAAATGTTTAAAATAATTCATTATTCAACAGCTTTTCATTTAAACTTATAATATATTCATTATTACATCATCAAAGGCATTTCTTGGATTTTAGTAGACTATGGAGTTATATTCACCTCGTTTTTCGTTAGAATGATGGAACTACGGTCTTTTTGCATTGATTGTTGAAAAATTCATGGTTAATAAGAGAAGTTCTGCTACCTTTATCGAGACGTTATTATGGTTAATTAAACTCTCAGGGTTCTTTAACGAAGATATTTACTAGGAATACTAGGTATACTGCTTATATCTTCAAAAATAATGGATGAAACTATGGAAAATATTCCATTAAACTTCCTCTTACCTCTGGAAATGGGCGGTTTTCTGCAATTTTTATGCTTTTTTATCAAATTTAGGTTCAAATTACGATCGATGGTTCGCTTTGAAATGAAGGCCTGCTCACAACAAGTAAAAAAACAGTTCAAAACATGAGAACAAATATTAATGGACGAATGCAGTTCATGCATGTTCGATTATTTGGGTAGCCAGAGATTAGAAATATCTCGATAAATTCATCAGAAATTCATCAGAAAACAGAAAATTCTACTACGAAAAACTAGTCAACAAATTCGCTTCTGGAATGTTCGCCCTCAGAAAGTTCTTAAATGCGCTAACGAGAGAAGTTTCTCTCAGACAGGGTGTCCCAACGAAGAGTGAGTCGATTATTATCGGGGAAATGAGTGAAATCAATTTAGGGAGTTATTTAGTGAATTATTAGTTGACAATATTGCTATTGCATCAAAAACCAATAAATTTGACATTTATGGACTGTCAAAATATTAACAAACCTACAGATTTACAGAACCCACACGTGAAATTTATTTCAACTTATTTTATTACGCAAAACTATAATATGTAAACTATCATATGGCAAACCACCAAGTCGATAAACTGTGGTTGCATTTAACGAGGACAGACGGACATGGATTGCGGTAAAAAACGTTAAACGTAGCTGTTATGTTTTAGTATCTAAAATTTCATCAATTCGATATCCACCTTTCCTACACGATATTCCGTACATACGAAGGTTTTGTACGCTTTCTATAACCATCATATTTATGTGTGTTTTATTTTGTGACGGAATAGCATTTTTTCTGAACGGTTTTATTAATTTAAACCTAATAATTAAAACTGCTGCACAAATTTTCGCATCGCTGCCTTCCCTACAAAAAACATTCATTATTTATTGATATGGGCATGTAATTTCAGTGTTTGTGAACAGAAAAAATAGGGTTTCCACTAAAAATTTTCGCATCTCAAAAACTGAACAATTTTGGTGTGAATTTGAATGAATAAAAGTCATAGGGAATAATCTAGCGAAAGTCCAAACTCGATACATGACTTAAGGAATGAAGTATGTTGTTTTATATTATATGTATTGAGCCCACAGTTTTTCCTATTCCCGATTCACTCCTATAACTTTTGTTCCTGTTGAGTCAGCTTCCTGAAAATTAATAGCGTTCTTTTTTCGTACCCCTACACGAAATTGTAATACGATCGGCCACTTTTAAAAATACATGGCGCACACAGATGGGCGGACGGACGTGCGGACAACAATACAAAACTATAAAGGATCTGAGGATTCTGAAATAACGAAGTGGGAGTAAAAATGAAAATGTGAAATTACTTTCCCATGCAATAATAGACGCAGCTCGTCGTTGGACACCCTGTATAACTTTTAGGATTTTTGACTTAACGGTCTTTAACTTGTTTTTTCTCGCGGACATGATCCTTTTTTCTGTCGGTCTTAGCCAAATGGTAGTGGTCCACTCTGGTAAATAAGGAACAAAAATTTAATGTGCACAAATTTGGTACAAAATTATGACACTTGTGAAAGAAAATTCTTAGTTAAATACGACGTGTTTTGATCCTTATGAGTGCATCACATTAGTCTATTATCTTGAACTCCATCAAAACTGGACATTTGAATAAACTTACGAATGAAATACTCACTTTTTCTCATTTAATCTGTAGGTACTTATTTCTCCACATATTTTTTCCTGGCCACTTCTCCCTTTGTTAATACTGACACATAATTTACAGTTATGTATGAAACGATAGAGGTAAACGATAAGTCGATAACTCGAATCATTTTGTTAAAATTAAAGTTCATTACTTTCAACATCTCTCATGATTGTCATGACAATTGTTTTTCTCTGTTCCTTATTTACAGCTTATTCATCAATAGATTCACTGGTTTTAGGTCAATTATTAGGATCTAATAATCTACTTGGTCCCTTCCATCATCGTGATTCAATGGTTGATGTAGGGAATGCTCCACGGGGAGGAATATCAGCAGGATTCATAATTCCAAGAACATGATTCCAGTCCTGTACATAGGATAGATTTCTGATTTCTTTTATACGGTTATGGACATAATGTACCCCAATGTTCATCACTTTTAATCCATGTTAATGCGGTTGCATAGTATCAGACCAGTCATAACTCCTGACTTCAGGCAATTCGAAATAATATTTTATATTGTGCACGTTTGCATATCTCCAACAGATGAGTGAGCCGAAGCTATATAAATCGCAACTTCATGATTTTCATTTAAAAAAATTGCGGCAATGAAGGCATACCGCCTAGGTCGAGGTCTAAAAGGTATTTAGATGTGTTTTTCACGGTTAGTTGGCGGAATACGAAGTATCTCCTGTATGTCGATGATCTCTCAGCAAGAAAGAGCGACAAATGAGAATGAACATGAATTGGCTGAATCGTTTTCGATTAATATTAACTTGTCATTGCAAACGGAATCCTTTATTTTCATTTCCTCAGTTTTCTTAACGCATTTTCCAACGAAGTTGGGTGCGCTAGTGCAGCGACTTTCTCTGTTCGTCCGTCTATTCGTCCGTCCGCAGATTGCGCAAAGCCCACTTTCTTATTTATGGAGGTATTTCTTTGAAATTAACCATAGAAGTTTTAATGTCTGTATTATAACACCTATAAGAGAGAGTTTACATAACTCCAAATGAGAATCAAAGAATCTAAATTGAACCTAATTGTGGTACCTTACTTACCTTTTTATCGCGTTTTAATTATATGGCGATTACAATTCTATCAGTAGATTATTATCATTAACATAATTACCTGCCTAGCACATACTTGCAAAGAATAAATTTCGTAAAGGTATTTCTGGAAAATGTCTTTGTAAATATGTATCTTCAGAGTGTCATCTTCGGTACAGATAACTACCTAAATACGTTTTCCTTCATTGTGCCATAAAAACATGAATGGAGAATCATATGTTAAGCGACCGCAAGTATGATCTCGACAATAAGAGCAAATTCCAACAACCACTACAACAGCCTGAAATGGTAAATATTCCGGCGCGCTAAGGGTAGGAGTCATTACCCCAATTATTTTCAAGTACCTATTATTATTATATTATTAGTATTTTGCAAATAAAGTCTGTGAATAATTTTGATTTTAATTACCATTATTTGCATTGTTACTGCGCTCATCATTTATAATTTATCATCGTGTTTGTTTACAAAATGAGTAAATCCCCCAAACGTAGATTAAAAATAATAAAAAAAAACGTAACTCACTCAGAAAAGGTGCTAAAATGAGTCGTTGCACTTTGGTTTCTGTCGCCAATTGAAGTAACAGCACGCGAAATCTAATTCGTATTTTTCAATAGTATCACTGATGTAAATACACGATAGTTATCTTGCGGTAGATAGCTCACCCCACAACCGGTTACCAAAAGTAATTAAAAAAATTAACCTAATAAAATTACCATTATCCAGAAGTTGTACATTTGCATGAATACAAAATTAGGCCAGCACCTATCAAAATCAAATTAATTTCAATAAACGCATTTGCCCTCGCATTTGCCTGTATCCGAAGAATTAAAAAAAATGTACCACGTTATAAAATGTGTCGTGTTATCAATCACACTCATTATACAAAATCAATCATTTCTTAAATGGTTACATCAATACTGTATCAGTTCACAACGGAAGCTTTTATTATTATGATCATAGATAACAAAATTTGACCAACAAGTTCAGAATTCAAGAAATCACAATGATAGATCATAGAGGATAGATTTCCTCTATTTTGAATAAAAAACTATCGTGGCTGTGGGTTAGATTATTTCACTAGTGGTTTTATTTTCGATAATCATACACGTTAGTGGCAGATCAATTGAATGCATCGACGAAACAATGACTTGAACAAGGGGAAACTACAGATAAT